GAAACTGGTGAGCATTCTGGCATAAAAAGGAAAAATACAGAAATTAAATCAAAGAAGGGTAAGATAACAAATTTGTGCATCAGTACAATTGCAATTAAAATTATGCTGGATAGTTTTGTCATATATTTTTTCATAAATTCAGGCAACAAATCCACGACGGCAAAACGGATTCGCGACATAGAAGAGGTCGTAGCCAATCTTGATCCTTCAGCTGATCTGCAAGATGCCCAGTCACAAGATGAAAATCACTCTTCTGGTCAGGAGCAGATCCCCGAAGGAATAGATGAATCAGTGGATTATTCTGGTATTTATTTTCTAATCAAACTTCCACAAATGCGAAGGCAATAATGTAATAATGATGAAAATTAATTACACTTATTATGCAGAAAAATATTTGAAAATGAAGCAGAAGTACAAGGCTTTGAGAATAAAATATAAGGACTTGAAATCCTCAGTCAAAGCGCGTCCGAGGTACACATTGTGTCCATTATTTTCGTCCTTATCAGTGTAGAAAAACTTTTTTTTTCCGTTTGATAAGAACTTATTTTTATCCATTTTTATCCATTTCTACGGTTATTTTATTTTAATAGGTCGAAATTTACCCTAACAGCGGTGTAACATTGCCCATGGCCGATTTGACTTCAATCAAAATGGTTTCGTCAAAACCTACTGTGCTAGCAATTTATTTAGACGGCTGTTTACGACAGAAGAACTTTCGACGCATTCTCTTTTGGGGAAGAAATGCAACGCTAACAGCAATGCCGCACCTCCTCTTCCAATCATCGACATACCCAAACGGGACGCTGTGATCAGTAAGATATTACATACATTATTGAGTATATTGGATTTGTAAATTGTTAGAAAGATTTATAAAGTCTATATTGAACTATTCTGCTTCACAGAATTTGTTCTGAAAGAGCAAGGACTTGATGGACTTCCAAATTCTGGTCATGCTGCCGAAGACAAAATTTTCAACAAAAATAAGAAGGTCGCAAGGAAGGAGATTATTAAATCATTATCAGATTTTTTGAGGGAGGAGCAGAAAAAATTCCGTAATTAATTTCAATTTGATGTAATGAAATATTTGAAAATTTATTTATTTGAGAAAAATAAAATCATTGGGTAAAAATACGCTATGCATAATTTATTCTGCATAAATAATTCTTCACGAAATACGGCCAATTTGTGCTACGAAAATATTGTACCCAAATGTTTATGCAGAAAATGTTTGTCATACTCTTTTATGCAGAAAATGTTCGTCATACTCTTTTATGCAGAAACAATTCTTCCTGAAAATCGGCCAAAATTTTAGGCACACAATTTGTACAGGATTCGCCATATAATTTATGAAGAAAATGTCGGAAAATTTTCATGCGGGGATCCCCAAACGGTACGGTGAAAAAACCAAAAAAAGTACCCCGTTTACCGATGATAATTTCTTTACGACAGGAACATATTTCAACAAAAAACTAACAAGTTTTATGTCAAATATTCTAAGGGTTAGCTGATTACAAAATAAAGGTCAAAATGTTATCTTATCAGGCTCCATTCATGGCTCTGGCGGGAATCGGCGGAATTGAGCAAAAACAGCCCAATTTCCTTGATTAAGGAGAGAAGATAGTTTCAAAAAATATTTGATAAACGTCTTGATGAAACTGGAGCACCCCCTCAACTATTCTATATCGGGTGAAAAGCCACCGACCTTTGTGAAGGCGTCCACAGTAGCATTTACAGCGAAATTCGTGAAAAACTGGATTAAAATCCACATTTCTGACTTCATTTGCACTTTAGGTTTAACGTTGGAATTTTCGAACCGCAGACAACTTCACCACCAAATACTGATTACAATTGAGGAAAAGGTCTGTTCTGAACCCCATATATGCGTCAGGGTCACAAAAAAATTTCTGACCCGGGAATGACACAGTTTGTCAATTAATTTCGTGCGTATTTTTGATGGAGCTTTCTCTTTCGTGACCAATTTTTCATGCGCACAGGTGGAATATATTTTCAAGTTTGATACATGCTTTCTACTTGAAATTTAACTGGCTTTTCAATGGCATAAGAATAAATTTGAAATTCCTTAAAACTAACCTAATATAGTCGTCTACTCTACTATCACTTTTTAAGTTGAGACTATGTATATCCAATTTCCCTGATTATTGTGCACTAATGGTGCAAAATTGTACAGTGACACTTATTTTGTCGGCTTATACTGTACCTTTGGTGCAAAGTTATACTCAAATAATTATTCCGGGGTGAGCTACTTCTAACGTTACTACGGTTTATTTAACTTCTTCCTCCAGCTCACGTACACCAAAAACCTCGCTTGGTCCTGCTATTCCTTCCTTCCTGGATAATTTGATGTCGTCGTAGATTCGAATCAATATTATCAATGTTTAATAGAGAAAAAAATTCGTATACGCTTATTTTTTATTTATTATTGACACAACTGTGGACGACACGCCGGGTGGATAAATTAAATTATCGATCAGACCCAGTTATACTTATGTATGTACTTAGGTAAATACCTAAGGACATATCTAAATACATAAGTACATGAAGTAGACGTGCCTATCGTAGTGTCTCACTTTTTTCAGTGCGTCATGTCTGAAAGACTGCATAATGCAAGAACTTATCTTCTTGGAAATCAGTCTACGCATTTATGCAATGCCAACTGATTAATTTCATACGTATATAAATATGTATGCCCTTATGTTTGAGTTATAGTTCTATAGGCATGTATAACTATTTTTCCTGTGGTTGCGACGAAGAAAAGCAAGATATGCACCTTACCTGCTTCTGCAACTGTCCCAAGTCAGTCGCGGTCATCAAAGTCGTCATTAAATTTCGCATTTAACCTATTTTTTGATGGAAGAAGTTCCCATTGCCGTTTCGTGGTTATAAGGAATCCAGAATGATCTTATTTACTATGAGGGCCCTTCCTGATAGATGTACAGAGCTACAAAAAACATCTCAAATTCATTTATGATTATTACAAATATATATCACTTAAATATGTATCACTTTTAACTCGTGTCATAAAAGTTTCGAGGTCTCAAGCATAGGCTAATAATGGATAAAGTAAATATAGTGAATGTCCCTCTTGCGCTTAAAAAGTGAAATATAAAAATTCGTTGCGAAAAGAAGTGTTACTACTACCAAAAAAACATGATCAGAGGTACCTGGTGTATTTATGAAGCATATTTAATTCATGATAAATACATACATATTAAAAGTCTAAGGTCCTATGTCAAATTGCATGGTTGTGAATGAAAAATGTGGACATATGTATTTATGTATATGTGCAACTCGAAAAATTTGACTCATTCAAACTATACATCAACGGGTAGCAGACAAAGAAGGCCCTTCCGTAAAGTTTCTAAAAATTGAAATATTATTGAGTGCTGCATTTCGGCCTGTGTTGGCATTTGATCAGGACTTTAAGAAAGTATGATCGATCAAGCTTCATCTCTCGGAGTGCCTCACACGAACAAAATATGTATATGGGAAATGAAAAAAAGTTATTCTTCTAGAACACATTCTGTCCCATCCCATCAAATCAGTCCCATTTTGGCAAAATGGGACCGACCTGAGATGCACCACTGCACCTCGTAAATGTCTGAATGGGTCATTATTTTGTGAAGTGCGGTACGGTTAAACTATGTACTTTACTCTGTTGTTTTGTCTGTCATGCTCATACTTAATTCTCAACTATTTGACCGTTTGAGGGTGGGATGTTTGTACAATTGGGGACATAAGCTCAAAGTTGACCACAACATAACTAGTAGTCTAGCTCGCTACATGACCATGTCGTCTTATGATGAGTTCCAAAATTTTAGAAATAAAACATCTATGTAAGATGAGAGTCATACATATAATGAATTTTATCTTCTTTTCTTGATATGCACCGGTTTCGCCCGTTGGTCACAGTCGGTGTTACCGCCTATTTACTTCGTTTAACATAAATAATTCATACATCCAGCTCTACATGTTCAGCAACAAGAATAAAAATTCAGCAATGCATTGTTCTCATGCCGACGCTTGCAAATTTTTTTGCAATAATGTATCAATTAGACAACATCTGTCACAGCCTAATTATGTAGTTAGCCAGTAATTATTTTCATACATTGTTTCACCCTTCGTCACATCATTAGCAAACTAGTCAAACCCACGGAGCTTTCTGCATTCGGACCGTTGCAGTCTACCTTAACCTATTTTTCTCTCATAAATTCTTGTTTCCGCACATACATATTCTTCGCAAAAATGTTATTTATGTTGACCATATTTGCCTCTTTTCAATCGATATGTTCCACAAATTCAGTACATTTCTCAAGCTCCCAATTAACCAAAAATCAGTCTGATTTCACCAGAATCATCGGCGGTGCAGACGCAACAGCGAATCAGTTTCCGTACATGGCTTCAATTCAGTTCAAAGGCGGGGCCCAGTACTGCGGAGGGTCAATCATTACCCTGCGACACATCCTGACTGCAGGGTAGGTGCGCGGGAAAGCTTAAATAGTTGATGGTGCTTGCTTACCCTTTTACAAGTTTAGTAGCGGGTTTAAGGTAAGCTAAGCCCGTCTGGGGCGGAGTGAAATCTAGCGCTAAGTTCAAATTGAAACATACAATACCAAGCAATTCTTGGTATCGAGGTGGTGTTAAGCTCTGTTTTACAAGTTGCTGTTGCGGTTTTGGCCCAGAAGTCAACGCAGACCAATTTGGCGGCGGGCGGTGTGGGGTCCCAATTTTGGCGCCGCCCCAATATTAAAATAACAGGAAAGCATATTTATTGGCGGCGGCGTCGCAGCGTCGTATGTACTGTCGGCGGCGCTAACCATTGGTTTGGACCAACAATTTCGGTCGATAGACGCTTGGCTTCTACGTATTTATAGCACGAAGTAAATCGGGCTTGCTTAACTACTAAATATGCATTTATTCTTTGTAACTCATGGCATCTTTTTTATCAATTCGTATGCCGCAGTCATTGCCTCAACGGGAAGATGCCAGACGATATTGAGATACGGGTCGGGTCCCTGAGAAGCGATGAGATGGGAACGGTTATGGCCGTCAAGAAAATCATCCTCCATCCCCAGTTTAACGTCGACAAGAATATGGTCATCTTCAACGACGTGGGCGTCATCGTGGTAAATAAATAATCCCTTGTAAAAACAAAATTGGGGTTCTGGCCGAGTTTTTGCCGGGTTGTTACATACTTATTTAATATTATGCAATATCGGCACTATTGCCGAACAGTGCTGAATAAGCGGGTAAAATACGTGCATCCCTTCACCGAAAGTGGGCAGAATCGATAAGGGACGTCCATACATTTCGTCGTCAAAAAGGTGGGTGGGTGGTTTGGGTCGCCCATCTTACTCGTATTAAGCTTAGCATGAGTATGATAGCGAAGGGGTGGGTGGATGGTCTAAAAATCGGTGATTTTTTGATGACGTAATGGATGGACGTTCCATAATTCTCTACTTCCCGGTATGCACTCCGCCGGCTGTGAAATATGCTGCACATTTTTGCCACCATTTTCAATTATTTTCAAGTTGGACAAAGCCGTCGCTATAAGTTCGTCCGTTGGCTTGATGTCCGTCGCACTGAGGGCACCGGCGGACATGACGAGATGCACAATATCAGGATACGGTTAAACCTTCACGTGACTAAAACAATATTAATCTCTAAAACTGACAGGTTATTTAACTCTGAAAGGTTTCACGGCCAAAAATCAGTCACCCGCGAACAAGAAATTGCTCTTCGTTGAACTACCCATTGTGAAGAAGGAGACGTGCGGGGAGATGATTCGACTTCCGGAAATGACTGATGGCGTCATTTGCGCGGGCGGAGAGGCCGGCAAAGGCACATGTGATGTGGGTAAACAATACACTCTTGAAAATCCAGTATCACGTGGTATTCATATATGACAAATTGGTATTGATAAGTAGAACCGTGTAGTGGTAGCTCCGTATTAAAGTTTCGGTAGCTACTTTTTACGGTCCAGTGTACATAATTTTAGTACCAAGCGGTAGTAACTTCAATACCGAGAAGTCAATACCTGCATGATTATGCCAGATTTCTAGCAGTGTATTTACTTACATATTTACATATTTTGTCAAATTTATATGTATTCCCTGTACTTTTTGCAGATGGATTCCGGAAGTCCGTTAGTCTGCCCGACTGCGAATCTTCCCAACCCAACGATGTGGCAAGTTGGCGTGGTTAGTATTGGAATTTGTGGTGAAGGTATGATAAATAAGCATTACCAACGATATTAATTGCCATCAACGGTATTCCGATGGTGTTAAAGTACAGTGTGGTTTAAATGTCACGCTACAATGGCAAATTTGTTAAGGGAAAAACCCCTAAATCTCCAATAGTTACAAGATTTGAGATTGAAATTTTTATTAATTATTATCCAAACTGATGACAAAATTTGTAAAATATTGGATTTCAGAGACAAAATTTCGGTAACTAATGGAAATTTACGAATTTTTCCCATTGAAGAATTTTCCTTTGTAGCGTGACATTTAAACCACCCTGTATATTTTGAAAATTTACACCTTTCCTCTTTCAGACGTTCCCTCCATCTTCACCAACCTGGCCATGTACACAGCATGGATTGCCGAGCAACTGCTGGTTTTGTCATGAATTCCTCACCGCAAAAAATCTATTCCAGTTTTCTGAATTAATGTTAAAAAAAGACTATTTAAAGTTTAAAGAAAATAGAGTCAACCAAAACCAAACACGCGTTAGGGACACAACAATTTTAATCTTAACATTAAAGGTCTATTGAACTTTATCACGCTGAAAAAATATTTTTAAGAAATCAATGAGCTTTTACAGAGCATGGGCCATCCTTCTAAATAAATTTTCAACAATTTGTCTAACCTACATATGAATTTTTCTTGGATTATTCACTTGTTCCATGTGATGCCCCTTGTTCTGAACTACAAGCCTGCAATGCTTGTTCCTTCATGAAAACACTTCCTGACACGTTTGAAGGCTTATTTTTAACCACTCGTCCTTAAAACTTTTCCAAAGTCCACCTAACCTCGTAGCTAATTTATTCATTTTCTCAACGACGCACAGCAAATTATCCTTCTCCCGTTACAGTCATCTACCTTGAACAAAGCTTCGTCGATTGTGACCACAGATTCGTCCTTAACTCCAACAAGGTCTTTTTCATACAGGTTTTTCTGGAAAAAAGTGGCAATTAGCGATGTGCACGCTGGTTCAACGCATGCAGTTTTGTTTTCTTCCGTTTGATTTTGTCCAAATCTCTACTAATGACTTTTTGAATACTAGTGGGATTCGATTTTAGTAGTTTCGCCATACCGCGAATGCTCTTTGGGATTTCCTAGTTGATCAAACGGTTGAGCTTAGTTTCTAGCCTTTTCGTCCGTTTTGCAAGGGGGCGGTTTTTAGGGGGAGGAGGCCGTGCCTGATTAATGTCTTGTCTTCTGACACCTTGTACATTTACTACTCTATAAATTGAGGTCAAAGAAATTTCATGCTCACCTGCATTAAGCCTTTTTTATTGTATTTCCGGTGAAATTCTGACTGGAAAACTTTTTCAGTGTACCACTTAAAATGGTCAGGGAGGAGCCATTTTTCAGAATTTCGAGTAGAAAAAATCATAGTCTTATCTAATTGGTTTGTCTACCAAACAGTTTAGGCCGGGTTTGCATAAGTTGTGCCAGTTGTTTCGCGCGAGCGTTTGAAAATTTCTTTAGGAGGATGGTCCATGCTCTGTAGTTTCCAACTTTTTTAAATAAAAAATCTGAATTTTTCAAAACTCGAAGGAACAATCCATTTTTAATTTATTGATTGGTATATGTAGTTAAATTAACTTACAAGCATACTAATACATATGTACATATGTAAATGTAAAAAAACTCTGACATCCAATCTTGCAGTTTACCTTAATTAAAAACTTCATTAAAGAAGCTGCTAATTCTCACTATCGAATCGTTAACATTTTTCATAATTCTGGGATTTTTCCAATTACCCAAGGCTCCACCAAAGCCGTGGGGCATATCGGTGTAACGCTTCGTCTCGCAGGTGTCACGACCCAACCGACGGTTCAGATAAGTGCAGAGGGGCACCTGAGAAAATTTAAAGTAAAATAAATCACTAAGGGTACTCATTATTCCTTCGTATCTTTAATATCGTAAAATGTTCTACGAAGAGAAACCAAGGGGTTAATCTTCGTAAAAATTGTAACCTTAGTAACGCGATTTTTTATTAAAAAATCTTACTCGTAATAAGTTACTAAATTTCATAACTTACATATTTACGATACGAAGACTACTAAAGATACGAAGAAATCATGAATACCCTCATTAAAATCTCCCATAATTTAATCATCATTACCAAATTAGCTTCATCCTTCGACGGCAATAGCATTAATTTTTGTGGTTTCGACATCTTTGCGACATCCGCAAATTTCACTGGTGCAGGATGAATTGATACCGAAGCGAGGAAATGTTGTCCTAAGGTTGCATCCCCCAAAAGAAGTGGGACCATTTTTCCTCCCCAGCAGAATCCAAATGCGCCCCATTTGTCCGCGTCGTAGTGATCCACGACTGATATGATGTCCGGTTTTACCACGTGTTCGAAGGAGCCATTCCGTTGGATAAATTTTGTTACAAGGTTAGGACTAGAAAGACAAAATTGGCATATCTAACAGGGTACATACATACACAGGACACATCTAACCGGTTGATTCCTGAATAGGGCTAAGTTTGCAAATACTAATTTTACAAAGAACGAATTTCAAAACATAAAAAAAAAACTTCTTTTTATTATTTTATAGCGAGAAATTTATATAAAATGTACATAAACTTTAAACGTGTATCCAAGTATTTGCATACGTCTTAAAATTTAAACTTGCAACTCTCATGCCAAGTTTGAAACATTTATTTATTTTAAAGGAACTTCAACGTTATAAAACAACACAATTAGAAATCTGAAAAAGTCATGGGATGAATTTCTCAATATTAAAATTGATACCGCTTGATATAAAAATTATACTGGTCGGTCAAAATTTGCTATACCTATACGGTGAACTTCTAATGGCGAGATAAGTATTACTACACATAATTACAAAGAGTTCATCAATAAATTTGTATAATTTTTCAACTGGATTAAAAAAATCCCTTACTTCCTTGGTGGGTATCCCTTCGTCGGAAATGGCTTTAGACGAAAAAAGTCTGGAACGAGGACGCAATATCCGGTCAGATTTGCGACCCTATCCGCATAGTGAAATGCATGCGGATGTAGCCCAAATATGTCGTAAATGAGAAGAAGGATTGGTCTTCCGGAGGAGACATTATTTCCACGTGGACAGGATTGATAAATCGTTAACTCTCCATTGTTCAAGGTTGGAAGCGAGGTCAATATTCCGTTCGAATTTTCAAAATTTGGAGACACTATTAACGCACTCGAGTTCTCATAAAATTTGAGAAACATGATAAATATAAATGTGTTTAACAAATTGTGCGGAAACATTTTTTCAGAAATATGTATGTAATTTAATGCTTTCGGAATCCACCATGAGTATGAAATGCGGTTGCAATTGGTGCTCTCATGTTCACTCTAAACATTTGCGAAAATGCAAATATTTTCATACAAAGCACAACGTGCTTGTGCATACATATTCGCTAAATTTTCATCTGGTTAAATATGTAAATAGAAAGATGGGGAAGTGGAATTGATTTTATTAAACCATATTTTTCAGCTTTTCTGTTCAGTCAACAAATTTCTGAATAATAGTTCTTTACTAAAGCTGTGATTAAAAATTGAATCGAGAGCAGTATTAAAATCGAGTTATGTATAAGTATTTAAGTATTTCAGCCGTGTCCTTATCTCGCTTTTACACGTGTAGCGTTATAAATATTCCTGTGGATGTGCATGTTTGTTTAATACGTGAAATATCTAAGTACATATGTAATTATGAACACATTTATGTTTAGTTGTATGTACGTGTGTATGTTTATGTATACATATTTGTGCATATACGTATGCCGTACGCACTTATTTGCTTGGACACGTATGCATACAAGCCAAATGAGCGAGTCTTAAGTTTTTTTGGAAATATTTCTGTATTCTATTTCATACGCATTTTTATTCATTTCCGTAATCTTCCCTTTCAATTTAAATACGGGATTGCATACTTTTCGAATTTACTGGTTTAATAAATTAGATATACCAACCAATATGCTTTTTTTATTGCAAAAACATGTATCAAAACGATTAAATTCGTAGTTAACATTTATCCTGCAGATTTCACTAATTGGGTTTGACACAATTTTATTAATTTGGAGCATGTCCAGTAGTAACTCTAACTCTCGTATAAGTAGTAACTAAAAAACACAATTACAATCTGCTCAATGACCACCGCCATTTTTTGGAATGTTTCCATTCTTAGAAATTCAATCAGCTCTTGAGACATCTAATTTACATGGAAGACTCACATATCCACAATAAACTTAAGGACCTTTTGCATTGCTCTCTGCGAATTAATCATTACATAAATATGAAATACTGTAAAATTATTTTAATATTTCAAACTGTAGATTACTGATTAACTAATTTGGAACATTTTAGGTTTTAATTAGATTTGAAAAAAATCACCCTTATATGCCGGCGATCATGCATATTTGAAATTAAAATTAAGGAGAGCTACCATATTTTCCAAAACTTTTAAGTAAAGTTAATTTTGCTTGGATCCAACTGTAAGTTGTAAAAGAAGACGCGATTTGTTACTCAGTATGCGGCGCAAATAATGAAATAATACATTATTTTATTATTAGAAATTTTATTCACTAGAGTATAAAGTGTATTCGCAGAGTAAATACTTAGAACATTTTTATGTATCATTCATTAAAAAATCCTTTAAAACGATGGACGACCAGAGCCGTACAAAATTGTCCGTATCTGATATTTTTTTAAATTTGAAATTTATATAAGTAAAAATAATAAAGTGAAGTAAAAATAATGTTGTGTTTTTAATGTATTGGTATGTACATATATGCATAGTGTATGTATGTATGTATTATTATATTGTATGTATTTTTTAAAAGTAATACATACATATACATACTATTTATGGTATTTAGGTCTGGTTATAATAATGTGATAATCATGTATATATCACCGAAATTTTGTAATGCGATAGTGTGAAGTGCAACACTCGATTTTGTTGAAATTTTTGTAGTTCTATTTAAGTCAGTACAATCAATGTTTCTTGAGGCAGCGTATGCAATGGTGTGAATTTTTAGAAATATTCAAGGTAAAAATTGACAAATTTTCAACTTTGACCTAGAATATTTTGACAAATTCCAACCATTGCACAAATTGCGTCAGAGAACATTCATTGTATTGACTTCAACTCAGGGTTCAAAATTTCAACAAAATCGGAGTATTACACTTCACACCATCGCATTTTTAGTAATTTAGCTATACTTTGTGTAGGTAATGGACATAAATCTGCGCCCCTGTTCGTCGTATTGTGGGAGCGGCTGCTCTCTGATATTTGTTCTGGAGTTGTCCTGTACGATAAATCCAGAAAAGCCTGTTAAAATAAATCACAACATCCGTATTATTACGTGCAATTTGAAATTATTATTTTACAAGTTTCGTAAATAGGGGATTATCTTTTTCAAAGTATATATGTATGTATTGTTCTTTGTTAATTTGACCACTTTTGTTGATTTTTACCAGCTTACGAAGTATCCGGAATTTATTCATGGGCATATATCTAAGAATATCAGTTTGCCCCAATTTCGAAATGACCGCGGCCGTGTAGCACCTACATACATCCTTCTACCAAAATTCGAAAACCGGACGTCGATATCTCTTACCGTTCCAAAATGAGGTCAAAAACCATGGAGCAATTCGCAAAAGCTGTCCACCACTACCACGAAAAAGTGGTTGCGCGCTCCAAAGAAATTTAGCTTTAGCCACTCTAAAAATCAACTAATTCAATAATCAAAAATTTGTCATATACTACAGAGGTATGAGCTACAAAAAACCACTAATGGCAAAAATATATCTGGTCGGACCATTCGTGTGGCAGCGCCTAAAGTGATAAGATTAGTGCAAATAGAAATCTGCACTGTCGGAACGAAATTCGAGTAAGTACTTATCGCATAGTTATCGCCTAGCATAATACATTATTTTAAAGCTTAGAAGTGGTACATCAAATCTTACATATAAGGTTATATAAGCTTATATATACAGTGAAGAGTAAAATAAATGGAGCAAGCACGATGACAGAAAAAAACTGAAGTAATCAAAATTTGTCGTCCCGTACAACATTATTAGCTGCCCAGTTTATCAAAATGATTTTATTTGCACATAGTACAACTCTCCTACCCTTAAGAAAACCAGTTAAGCGGAACAAGAAAATAGATCTAAGCAAAAATATCCCGCTCCGCCTGCAAACGGATCAAATTCAATTAACATGGGATGAGTAAGAAACGTTCCCAATTTTGACCCAAAGAAGACTCATTGAATAATTTTGGCCTCTATCCAGGAAAAAATATTGTGCTCGATAAAATTCAGCCACAAATTTGAACTTATTTCAATAAATGTCAAGAACCGCAAAAAAGGTAGCTCAAAACAGTGGCGAAGCACTTTTGGAGCGTCTGACAAACGCTCCTCCAGATTGGGCGGACCGGGCTGGGGGAACCATGTAAAGCAAAAACTAATTAGATTCAGCCCTTGTTTCTTTCCGCCCAAAATTTCGTTTAAATTAGTTTACTTTATTTTATGTGCGCGAATTTTAAAATTCCGGATACTTCTTAAGCACACCATATTTTGTTTTTACACTCTAATGATCGTACTTTTCGACCTTGTGAGGTCATATTTGGCACACGGACTCGCAACCATATTCCCCAGGGTGGTTTTCAACGATTTTGAGCTAGGTCAATTCAGTGACCCCACAGAGGTCATTCAAATTTTATGACCTCTGTGGGGTCACTGAAGTGACCTAGGTCAAATTTCTTAAAAATCACCGTGGGGAATATGATAACCAGTGTGTGTGCCGAGTTTGAGCTCAAAAGGTCAAAAAGAACGGTCACTAGAGTGTAAAAACCTAATATTATTCCAAAAGTTTTGCGACTTCTGGAAGGTCACGCAGGTGACCTAGGTCAAGATCCTTGAAAACCACCTGGGTAATGTGATTGGCAATATGTGTGCCAAATATGACCTCAAACGGTCAAATATTACTGTCACCGAGTGAAAAAACGGGACCCTCATTTTTAAGCGATTTGTGCGGAATTCAGCCTGAGATTGTGAGCTAAAAAACTTGCGATTCGGCGGGATAACGTTATCTTGCTGCCAGTGTAAATGGTTAAAAGTTTACCAATGAGCGTACTCACGTCAACCTTGGCATATCTCTCAAATTGAGCATAGCACACATAACTAGCGAAGTTTTGTGAGATATGCAAGATTTCACAAAAATTTTACTGGAAAACCATAGGATTTTTTTCGCAAATTTACCCAGGAATTGGGAATGTCCTTATTTCGCAAAATTATTTCGCAAACTCATCCTCACCATGGCCAGCAAGATAAATTAAAGAAACCCATGGAAACAATACCAAAATATGTAGGTGTTTTTCATTAGATTGGCGAGATTGGTAAGATTTGCGAAGTCATATTTTGCGAATCCCCTCACGACAGAAATGTTCTGATCTTCTCAACTTTGCTAAATGAGTTTCGCTGCGAAATAAGACGTTGTCGTGAGTACGCCCAATATTTACTACTTTATGTCATTTTACAATTTTACCACTATTTACCACTTTTTACAAGTTAAATACCGATATTTATCAAGGGTATATATATTCCGCTGAATAAATACCACTTTAAACACAATGAAAATACATACGTACAGGATAAATATGCATTGTCATTCATTGCTGCCAGAATTTGGATGGTTTCTTAAGATAGATGATCCCCCATTGACATAATTAATTTTAGAAATTCATATTTTTGCGAGAAAACAAAGAAATTTAGACTTACCAATAGACACTGGGCGCATGACTCCAGAATCCTGCCGAATTATGGATGGCACTTGAGGTACCGGGCGAATGAAGGCCTGGGATGCTTGAACCTTGGGGACAGTTGGATTTAGTCGCGCGTTCACACAACTCTTCAACGCGGTCATCGTGATTTCATGTGCAGAAGGGGGAGAAGAAAGGAGGGGTTCAGGTGTCGCGGGTGGGGTGATGGGGGACGTGGGAGGAGCGTACGGTTGAAAGGGAGCCATTTGCACCATTTCCGGATCCTTTTCATAATCTGGAATGGGTCAATATGACACAAATTATTATCATAGTTTTAAAAACGATAAATCTCCATTCATAATTCAGCTAATTTTCCTCAAAATATTTCTAGAATTTTGTAAAAGTTTATACAATTTACGGATTTTACAATATTGCCAAGAACTGCGTGAATTGCATCATTATTTAATGTGAAAAATGGCCCTGATGAAGTTTACCGTGGCAAAAATATTGTACAAATATGCTAAATATTCACCAAAATATTTAGAAAACCCCCTGAAAATACGCAAGTCTAATACATGCCCTTTTCAAAATATTTATGTTTCTTGTCAAAAACTTACATGCATGACACGTTCAAGTTAAGATTTGAATTTATAAAACTATTTTTTCTCACCAGAAGTTTGCAGGATCCAATTAATCTCGGAGGAACTGACGTTCATATCCGTCCAGGGTTTGGGATCAAAATCAGTCAACAGCTTTTCGGCGGAGAAGTCGGCGGTGGGGTCCACCCTGGTGGGAAAGTCGGCGGTCGGAGGGATGTTAACACCACAGTGGAAGGTCATGGTCATGGCGTCAATATAAATGAGCGAATATTTCGTCCGTCCGTTCGGTTAAACGACACCTTGTCAAATTTTGCGAAATCTAAATGGATAATGCACTGCTTTGGAAGACAGTTAGAAAGCGACTGAAGAAGTTCGTTGGACTCGGTCGCGTGTTTTCTGGAGAATTTTCTGGAGAAAAAGTCCCCAAATAGAATCTAGCCTAATGCTAAATATGAGTTCAAATGCAGGGTTTTGTGCAGGTATCGGGTGTTGGTCAGACTAAAAAGAAGGCAGCCATGAATGAGCGAAGGGTACAAGGCGTGCTCGTATCCTGGGGCTTAATCCTTTCTTCCATGACTGGGCCTGATCTAAGGCTTTCCAGCATAAACAAAAAAGGTACGTTGAAAATGTGCATTGATTTTATGAGGGACTTTATGCATGAACAATTTTCATGGAAAATTGTATGCATGGAACATTCTGGAATATGATAAAAATAAAAATATCCAGCGAAACATGCCACTTGAGATTTTTATTTATAAAAGTCGCTCATTCAGTAAAATTTCTATGTATTTAAATTTTAAATAAATCGTTTATTCGAATAATGAGGCAATTCATGGTAGCATTGTAAAATACATCATTTCTGGAAACTTATAAAATTTTAGAAATATTTGTACGGAAGATGTGATTACAAATCTGGCGAAGTCGTTATCGGCAATGAAAACAATTCGTCGCCCAGTTAAAGGGGGGGGGGAATTGTGGATTCCTTCATCTTGTGTAGGGACGTTGGGGGTAGGTTACATACGTCCAGATTTATTATTTTTTATTTTCCCACGCCCTTACGACGAATCTTGACGCTGATAAAAATGTGGCCCGCAATGAAATATTGGATGAAAAGTATGAGTATTTTACGCTTTATTACCAGACGGCAGATATGTATTTCTAACTTTTTCATACCTAACAAGATAAAACTACAACTTCGTAAACTACTTAGAATCCCATTTAAGCAAGAACTCAAAAATTCAAACATAGTTTTACATATGTATTTTAGGTTTTCGTACATATACATATGTATCTTGATTTTTTTACATATAAATTTGTAGTCGTTAATAAATCTTTTAATTTTACACGAAAAAATGAAATTTTCTTAAAACCCGTGGTGTGTTAACAGATCCTGGATTTTTTAGTCAGGTTGAGTTGTATCAGTATCAGAAATAAGTATGTATGTACATGCATTCAAGTATTTATAATGTATGTACGTATGCCTATTTATTTCTGTACACAAAAAGCAACCTGATTTATTACTCATGAAACTTTTATTCATAAATAACACCTTTTGTCTTCTGCTAAACGTGTTTTCCAAAGTAAAATCTCTGCTAAATTTTATTCGTGTACGGGACTCTGGTGATTTCGATAGAAATTAATGACTTCTTTCAATACATTTCTGATTTCCGGTCATGATAAAATCCTGAATTGACCAAATTTAATTTTTCATTTTAATACTCATTTAAAGCTGATAATAGGATATGAAACGCATTAAGTAGCTAATGAACCATTAAATTAAAAACTATATAAATCCATCATTTCACTGGAGCATTTTACTTTTTCCACATTTTAATTTCGCAATTTTTAAAAATCATGTCAGCTTTGTCATCTCCAATTCCCCTCTTGACCATGGGCCTCGTCTTGATGTCGGTTTATTTACATCATGTCGTACGTTTCTAAGAAATTAAAAACAACTCTTATTCATATTTTTAATTTTTTATATTCCAAAATTTCCAGGAATTTTCGAACGCCCAAGCTCCAGAGAAATCGTGCAAACAACTCCTCAGCGAGTTGACGAAGCGTCAATTCTCTGCGATTGCGAATTGCTCGAAATCCATGAAATTTAAAAATGGGAAACATAAAGCAACCATGGGAAATGTGAGTTAAAAAAATTGATAAATTTTAGAAATAATTAATGATTTTAAATTATTTTCAGTGCATTTTGAAGTGTGCGATGGAAAATGAAAACTTGGTTTGTTATATATTTTCATGGCGAAAAAATTGCATGATTAAAATTTCTGAAATATGTTTCCATTAAAAAAAATTTACATATGCATTTTAATTACAGGTGGATCGCAAAGGTGAAGTGACCCGAGAGATGATTGATACCCTGTTGGTCAAGGAGTTGCCACCTTCGTTAATTGACCGGGCGAACGCTACTTTGGAACCTTGCGTTGCAAAATATAGTGAGATGTTGATTTTTTCAAAATTTTCAAATTTTGAAACTGTAAATTTTTATATTTATCAATTTTAGAGGGAACTTTAGACGCGAATCCGGAAACTGATCCGTTATGTGGTACATCTTGAAAAGAACAATGAATACTAAAGCAATTCACGTAGGCCTTGGTAACATTGTAAAATCCGTAAATTCTGTAAATTTACAAACTTTAAGAAATATTTCTGAGGAAAATTATCTTGTAAGTTTTTGATTAGATCTTTTTATTTTGTAAAAGTTTGTAAAAATATTCTGCAAAATTTACGCATTATACAAAGTTACCAAATCCTGTGTGAACTGCCTCAGTATAATATGTTTTTAAACAAGTTTTTATATTTTTTCCTCAACTTTGATTTTTATTAAGAGTTTTCGATTTTTTTTAAATTTCAGCTACCTACGATCCCGTCATTAAGTGTGTTCTGTCTGCATTACCGAATGTATGTATGATTATTTTTATGCAAATTAAGATGTCATTTGTGTCTCTATGTTTTGATATTTATTTCGACTTTATTTTCAGTTTTGTCCAAACTAACTTACGCTAATTTGCATAAAGCGAAGAAACACATGTTATTGCAATGAGGTAATCCGGATAAGTTTTTGGAATTACAAATTACAAGTAAATAAAAATAATTTAATTTCTCGCATTATTAAATTGGTCTGACACGGTTTCTCAAAGTTTCCACTTTGCTTGCACCGAATTTCATTCTTATTTAAATATGATGATTCAATTTAAACGTACCGATAAGGGCGAATCAATTGTGGACCATTACGAATCGCATATTTACATATTATATATTTATTTAAAAAAGCATTAAAGAAATTCAGCTTCATATTATGCACGGGAGTTGTACAAATTAATTATAATAATCAACATCCACACAATTTATTACACTCTTTCATAGATAAATAGCATCGAAGCATGTACATATTTTTCCTTATACACTGTCGACATTGTAGTCTACAAGGAAAAATTGAGAAATATAGTGTACAAGTTAGTGGAAAATTACATAAATATGAGCAGGAATGCATGACTGGTTTTTACAGATAGATATTTATATAAGTATGTATGTACCACATAAAAATATTCTTTCAAGTCAAGTTTTCAAACTAGACTTTTACATGTACGCTCACATTTAATTTTATGTAAAAGTACCCAATTGAGTACAAATAGATTATGTACCTATTTCAAGTTCAAGGTCTCGCATTTATAGCGTTGTTTTTGCAATGTTAACTATTATGCAAATAGATAAATAAGTATTTGCACTTAACAGGGACCGGTTTCCAGGGAGTTGTACGTTAAGCTGGTCAGGTCCATTAAAAACTGGAACTTGCTTTAAGAAGTGGGGTGCACAGAGGATGTCACGAATTTGGGCAGCAGTCTATGTAGTGACTAAATATGTACATGTGTACATATTTGCAATCTACTAATTTTTAGAATTATGCGATGGACTGGGTTAAAATCACAGGAGTTTTAATGACATGCTTTACGCATGGCTATCTCATCAGGATAATTGTGACTTTTTTATGAATTTTATTACCCTGACCGTGGATAAAAAGGCCTCAATTTTTGAGGCAAGCTCGTCTCATTGTAAGAAAGAATTTTTTGGGGAAAACTGTTCCAATATTAAAATACCTAATTTCACAGGTGTCATTTACATACGTAGCGTTGCTTATTTGGACTTGGAAGAAGAGACAAATTTCAGAATTTTTTGAACCATGAAGCTTTTCAGAATTAATTGTATGTTCCGATCGTACATGACACCAGTACTTTTACTAACTTTGTTATGCAACGGTAGTGTAAGTGGTTGGATCTCGTTTGAGGATGACGTGATTCTATCCGAGAAACAAGGTGCTGCTTTAAAAGAGGTGAGTTTAGTTTATTAATTTTGAAGTATAAATTACAAAATTTATTTATATTTCAATATTGGTCGAATTTATTAGAATTAAAAGCATGTTCTTTTGTGAAGGACATACAGTATCGGCAGAAAGTCATTATACCCTCATACTTTTTCTACTTCAAGCATGATATTGTTGGAGAAGCTTGAGGGGTTGAACTGCAATTTTGCACAATTACTTATCATGACGCAAGGTTTCCGGAACCATACTTTGAATGACGGTGTGGCACAAGAAACGACACGGTGGAATTATATCTAAAATTCAGACTGGAAAAAAGTCTTTACACCCCTAGTAAAGTTTCATGAAAAATTTGTCCAAACTTTTCTGTGTCGAATAGCAGTCAAACTATCAACTGGAATGTCCACCTTGATCCTTTAGGAAGGCAAGGAAACGTCTTTGAATCGACTAAAAAAATGAGCTGGTGAAAGAGGTGTCAAAATTTACCAATTAAAGCTTCACAGCATCGGCCAGACTTTGAGGTTTGATAGCGTGTGCTGAAAAATTTTGGGCTTCACCATCGACCATAAATGTTTATTGGCATGCTGCCCGATGATTATGGAAGGCAATTCAACAATTAAATCTCTTTTGTTCTAAACCAAATCCCCTATAATTTTGATAGGTGCTTAGGATCGCCTTATTATTTGAAAATATAATTACTCCCCGGCGGTTATTTCCTTCTGTTACTATCAAATTCCAACCCAGAACGTCGCAGTAGTAATTGGAGTACATTATTACTTCGATTGTATTAAAGTTTCGGACGCCCTTCCAAAATGTAACGCCCAAACAATTTGATTTCCACCCCCATCCATAACGCTTAGCGTACGGTCGTTGGGTTTGTCAGCGTCTCTTTGCTGAATCCACATTCCACTGGTCCCAATTTGATACAAACAGGTTGATGTTGACGTCGTTGAACAATATCAGGAGTTTCTAACGTTTAGCCGTCCAATCATCATGCTTTTTAGCCCATTTAGAGCTGTCCACAATATAGGCCGTAGCTGATAAATGGATTTCTCCATGTTTCTCGCTATTCAAATCCATTTTAAGTTATCCAATTCTTTATAATTCGCACAGAAACTCGAAGATTATATTCTTCCCTCGTTTCCAAGCTGATTTTTGGTGAAGGTTACCGTGGAGTCATTGGCTTTTGCAGAGGTTGCCGTGATCCGTCCATGGGCGCGTGTTCCATGTCTATGAAAAAGTTGTTATATTCTATGTCATCCTAAATGTTTTGCAGTTCTAGACTATTCTGGCAACCGTACTATTCTTAATGGGTAGTTAATCGGAAATTCTTTGGTGTCGAAGCCTTTTCTCATTAAAATTAACAACTTTTTGCCCCAGGACGGGGCTAAGGTGTTTTTGAGTCAGTATGGGCTAATATTGATAACAGATAAGTAGTTTAGTATTACAAAAATGTTATTTATCAAAGAATAATGCATCACCTAGTGGGTTAAGAACGATTCAAGGGGATGTTTTTAAAAATTACACTGAAAGTACCAAAAATTCCAAGGGTGTAAAGACTTTTTTCCTGTCCGAATTTTAGATATAATTCCACCGTGTCGTTGCTTGTGCCACGTCGCTATCCAAAATATGGTTCCGAAAACCTTGCATCATGATAAGTAATTGTGCGAAATTGCGGTTCATCCCCTCAAGCTTATCGAACAATATGAGGCTTTATGTGCAAAAAGTATGAGGGTATAATGACTTTCTGCCCATACTGTATGTATGTATGTACGTATCTCAAAATATGCATGTATTTTTATATACATACCCACAAACAACTATTATTTACGGTATGCAAACTTGCATGCAAATTCTTAAAACCTCAATGTGTGTGCCTGAGATAAGTAGGTATTTGTAAATTTGTGAGGGCAAAAATTAACGTGAAATTTGCAGCATTACAATTTTCCCCCAGTTCAAACAAAGGGTCCTCCCCCTCCTGCACGTTGAGTATATGAAAGACGACATATACTTGGCCAAATGGCTCAAAGGTTAGAAATTAACTAACTAATTAACTAACTGATTAACTACATATATAACTACTTATGTATTTAAAACTAATTTTTATGCTCCTTAATATTTAGCGAAAAAGTTTCATGTCGACGATGCCATTCAAATGTTGAAAAATGTGAGCAAAATATAAATACAGTGTTTACATATGTACGTATTAAAAAGTTTGTGCAATTTCCACTCATGAAATTTTATCCCAGTAGCATTTAGAGTGGCGAAAATCCACAAATTTCGACAATCTTGGCCCCAATGAGTTTTCCGATCTCGAAGCTGATTATCCCATCGATGTCGTGGGGCATGACACGCGAGGAAGACCACGTAAGCGAATCGTTCCCAAAATTTTGAGTTTTCCCCAGAATATTTCAGAAACTTTGAACTCTTTAATTTATGTAGTGGTCCAACTCCCCGTGGCCGAGTGGGACCTTCGCCTCGCCGCAATTTCGGGGAAGACGGACCGATTAATTTTATACATGTCGAAAACATTTAACGATGCTTGGCTAAAAGTGAGAGAGTTGCAGAATGTGGGGAAAAACGTGACCAGATTTCAGACCATCGTCACCGTGGGCAAGATTAGTGTGGCGCAGCAAGTTAATCCGTCAAGTAATCGGATAGATTAAGTCGTGAATTTTTGAATTTTAGTATATACATAAATCTAAAAATTGTAAACATTTTACAGGTTTTCCCTTCTATCTCGGTGTGGGACTTACGTATGAGAGGAATTTTCCCAAAATGGGGGACGACATTTACCTCGTGGACAGTAAGTGGATTAGAATATTCACAACTGTCTTGGTCACATGGGTGACTAGCTTCTTTAAGAATTGATTAACCAGCAAACCGCACTATTAATTCCAGCCGCCCCGATCTTCCAAGTGGTCATAAACCTGGTGAAAGCCGTGGTCGCGAAAGACGTGGGAGACTCGATCCACGCTTTCGGACGGGACCGGAAGGCGTGGGTGGAGCAGTTGAAAGGCAGAATAGCTCTGGACCAACTCACCCACTATTTTGGGGGCACAATGGTGTCAAAACAGTAATTGTATTTGTCTATATTTTTTGTTAATGTGAAAAATTGTTAATGAAAAATTAAAAAATAGCACGAAATTTTACCAGTTTCATTTTATTCATCATCTCTGATTTTCACACTTTTATGTACTAATTCACAGAGGAATCTTTAAATGTAAAATTACATTACCAGTTATCAATCAGGAAAAAGTGAGACTGTGATTTACATACATATGTACTTAAATTAGACAAGTAGAAAAGTTTTGTTAATTAAAAAAACACATATTATTGATCCAATCATAATAAGAGTTAGACAATATAAGATTACCTCCAGGAAAATTAACGAGTAGACTTACTTCCTTTTCAGAAAATTCTTAAATTTAATTAATTTTATTGTTGTTCTACAGTTATATATATACATAATTGCGGAAAATAATTAAATGATTTGGTTAAAATAAGTTTACAAAACCTCCCCAATTACAAAAATTATGGCGAATTACATTCATACATATTAGCTGCTTGAAGTTAGTATGTAGTGGATGCATTTTGAATTTATATGACACTTTTTTCCTCCACATGGTCAAGCTCCTCACTATGACCGTGGTTATGAGTTCGAAGTTCACCGAAGATCTAGACTGCCGAAAGAGATATCGAAGTGTGCAGTCGCGCCGGGCAATCCACTAAATTGAATTCAGTCTACTTTGCACGAAAATTTTCAACAAGCTTGATTGAAAAGTCGGCGTTGGGATTATACTCCGTGATTGCAGGACGTTTCCTCTTCCTCGTTGTTTTGTCTTCGGTGTTTTTAATGACCTGGAAATTAATTTAAGTAAATGAAGCTAAGATACGTTTGATTTGTGGAAGATTACAAATTGTATAAATCTGTTAAGCTTACGTTTGCACAAAACTTAGCCTTCTTCAATTTACGAATGTGCATTACTTCGTCGCTGTCCTGTAATTAGTAAACATTTTTAATCAAATCCAAGTTACAGGTTAGAAAATTAGGTTTTAAAATTTAAAATTTAAATTTTGAAACGTAAGGTTCCTCAGATTATAAATTCTGGATAATTGCACACTTTACACAAGTATTTTAACGAGAAAAGTCTTTTGAAGAAAAGAAAGTATTCATCAATCACCGTGTCGAAGCCGTGGTCTGTGGTCAAATGCATCCTTAAATTGTCTTCTTTTACAAACCATCTGGTGCAATAGGAACAATGGTGGATTGTAAGCTTGCCCCCGAGTAGTGGTTCATAGGGGGATATTTCTTTCTCTGTGATGGGCCTAACTTTTCTTAGGGGCTTAGGGGTAAATTCTTGAGGCTTATCTTCCTCCTCTTCATCAAATTCTGTAGACATATCTTCCTCTTCTTCATCAAGGAGCTTATCTTGATGTTGACGCACTGAATCAACCGATTTCCCAGCGACGAAGCTAAGATTTCTTTCCGGGGTATGGTTATCGCGATGGCGACGCGGGAGTTGATCCAGAACGACTGATTCCTTCACCTCGGAATGGTTGCGGTAATGACTGCGAAAAAATGAGATATAGACAAATTAGCTGAATTGCAAGAAAACAAGGTTATTCAGCTCGGACAGAACAATGTCTATCGTAATTTTTGTCGTTTCTTACGATGAATGCATTACATATTAATTCCCCACAAAGTTATTCACCAAACTTGGTTTTATATTTACTTACCATTGATAATCGTAGAAAGCCACAAACTGCTTGTTACACAAGAAACACGTGTACAGCTTCAAGGGCTCCACTTGCTCCTGAGTGTAGACGACATTACAAATGTGCATCTCATGAATAATCTTGAATCTCCAGGTGGGGAATAGTTGGAAACATTTTGAACATGAGAAGGGCCCTCCATGGTTTTTTCTCTTTATGGTTCTTGTGCAAACTTGTCGTCTTTTATGTCGCCTAATGCTGGTCACACAAGAAAAAGTCATGCCACAGTTGGAGCATATCAAGCTCTCGGTGTTCGCAGAAGGGCTGTAATTTAAAATAATGTTAATATATCGAAAATTAGCACGTTTCTGTTATCGCATATTGGAGGACTACTTCATGCCACAAATTTATACACCTTTTATTTAAAAATGTGCCACTTTTCAGCTTTTATGTATAATTAATTAGGCGATAAGATATTATTCTTACTTTATTGTCGAGCTATTAGAATGCTCGTTATTCGCCTGCAGTGTTCTTCCAGTTGGTTTGCCTTTTGGGGGCTTATCTTCCCCTTCCTCCTCAAATTCTGAAGACATATCTTCCTCTTCGTCGGGGTCTATGCTTTTGTGGTCCTCGATTTCTGGCGATATTTGCTCAGGTGACAATTTTCTTGCTGGTGTAGATAATCCGGCCGAAGTTGACGAGTTGTATTGTCCGACTTCGTTAAGTTTGATACGCCCACCTACATATTAGGATAGGAATATTTGAAAGGTTATGTTAATAAATTACAAATCCAAATTTTTTAACATCCAACTATAAATTGTTAATTATAAAATATTTAAGTATTTTTCTTCACCTGTCAAAGTTTGACAGGTGAAGAAAAATACTTGGTAAAGTTTGACAGTCAAACTATTACCGAGTATTTCACACTGACTATTACCGACTGATTTCTTCACTTCGGAATGGGTGCCGTAATGACTGCGAAAAAATGAGATATAGACAAATTAGCTGAATTGCAAGAAAACAAGGTTATTCAGGTCGGACACAACAATGTCTATCGTATTTTTTGTCGTTTCTTACGATGAATGCATTACATATTAATTCCCCACAAAGTTATTCACCAAACTTGGTTTTATAATTACTTACCGTTGATAATCGTACAAAGCCACAAACTGCTTGTCACACAAGGGACACGTGTATAGCGTCCAGGGGGCCACTTGCTCCTGAGTGTAGACGACATTGCAAATGTGCATCTCATGTGTAATCTTGCGTCTCCTGGTGCGGAATAGTTGGCAACATTTTGAACATGAGAAGAGCCCTTCATTGTTTTTTCTCTTTCTGGTGTTTATGCAAAGTTGTCGTCCTTTATGTCGCCTAACGGTGTCCCTACAAGAAAAAGTTATGCCACAGTTGGAGCATATCAAGCTCTTGGTGTTCGCAGAAGGGCTGTAATTTAAAATAGTGTTAATTTATTTTTAATATTTTACTGTTTATTTTAGTGTTAATATATTGATAATTGGCACGTTTCTGTTATCACATATTGGAGGACTACTTCATGCCAGAAAATTTCTGGCATGAAGTAAAAGGTGTATGAATTTCTGCCAGAAATTCATACACCTTTTTCTTAAAAATATGCCACTTTTCAGTTTTTATGTATAATTAATTAGACGATAAGATAATATTCTTACTTTATGGTTGCGTTAGTAGAATGCTCATTTTTCGACTGCATTGTTCTTCCAGTTGGTTTGCCGTTTGGGGGCGTATATTCCTCTTCTTCATCAAATTCTGAAGACATATCTTCTTCGGGACCTATGCTTTCGTCGTCCTCGACGTCTGGCGACATTTGCCTAGGTGAAAATTCTCTCGCTGGAATAGATAATTTGGTCAAAGTTGACGAGGGGTCTTGCCCGACTGCGTGAAGTTTGATACGCCCAACTATTAGAATAGAAATATTTGAAAATTTATGTTAATAAATTACAAATCCAGATTTTTTTAAATCCAACTATAAATTATTAGATATAAAAGTATTTTTTCACCTGTCAAACTATTAGCGACTATTTCACATCCATTTAAATATTTTCGCCTAGATTCTTCCAACCTGTTTTCCAACTCTTTCTCCAAGCTGACGATTTCTTGCCGCAGGGCGCAAACTTCTTTAATGAGTGATAAGCAATCCGAACAGGATTCCGTGGTGGACATGAATTGGTTGTAACTTGACGGCGACGTATTTTTACTGATGGTTGGATTAATTAAGAGGTCACGAAACAAGGCCGCTTTTTCCTGCCGGGTGACATTTTCTGGCAGTGACCGAAAATCTGCCAGCGGTTTTATCCCGCAGAGAAAACATCCCGAAATTTTGACCGTTTTACATTCCGACACGGCGACATTGTCGAGCACATTGTTCCGCGTCAATTGGACGAAGGGGAGATTCAATTGCATCGTCGAATTACAAAATTGGATGACAAGTTCTTTAGCCTGTAATTAGTTGAACATAAATTATTTCAGTTACTTGAGTCAATTGAAATACTGAATATATTAAAACTTTTTTAAAGTGAAATCCGTACTTTATTTTTTTTAATGATAACAAATCACACCCATTCTTTGTTTATTTTATGTCAAAGTTGGTGGAACAGTGTCCCAGGGAGACCAGTGTCTTAAACTGATTTAAATGCCATTTATTTATCACTTTTAATTTGAGATTTTTAAGAAAATGAAATAAATATTTATTTTTTCTGGAGGGAGAAACAGGTGGCCGGAGCAAATCCCGGTTTTCAATGTACAGTGCAAGATGCGACAAATCTTGCGGGTTAAAAAAACACCGTGTGCATAAAGCTATCAGGGGACGTTCATAAGTTATGTAATACAAAAATCGAGATTTTCTAGTACCCCTTTAACATGTATCACATAGACACGACATCATTGGAGCCTTAAACATCTCCTTCCACTCCACTCATTACGTAATTTATGATAGGCCCCTTAAGAATTTAAAAATATTTGGCAACAAATTTTACTTATTAATCAGCGTTACTCAAATGATGATAAGTAATAAAATAATGATGACAAATATGTACATATAGCATATGCATGGTATGTAAATATATTAAATTAAATTTATGATAAAAGTGTAAATTACACTTTTCATTAACTGTCTCATTTTCTTTGTTGGTTTTCATGCATTTTGGTTGCGCAAATTTTCACGCAACTTTAGACCGCACATAAAAGATGGCATTGGGAATTTTTAAGGTGACCCTTCATCTGTCGCTTGCCATTATTAACATCTGCACGATAAGGTGTACTTATCCACTCAAGCTCAAATCGACGACTTCTTTTATGCATACACGATGTAGATTAACTATTTAAATGTATAAATATAAGTATTTAATCAGCTTTAACTATTACAATTAAATGCATGAACTTTGGACAGAATCATTTGTTAGGATTTTGCGAAATTGAATTCCATTCTTCATCTTTTGATGTCAATATTGGCATATAGCATTTTATTCGGTTTAAAAAATTTACATTGGAAATTTTCCAATAACTAAATGATGTCAGTATTTCTCAAATAATTAATTTTACATGTCACAAATTATTATCTCCAGTATGACTTATTAGTCGAGCTTTTGACCCCCTCGTAGCTTGGTCAATATTAAGTTCATGTTTCCTCTGTGCACAAATAATAAAAAAAAATCTAAATTAATTTTAGTTTCTGGTTATGGGCATACATTTAATTTAATTTTACCTTCAAGTGCAGCACCAAATTACTGTAAGATCTTTCTTGAAGGGTCAAAGTCTCGCTGCAGATTTCAGTCTCGTTATCTTTGACCGGTAATGTGCACCTCACTTGGTCCTTGGTAGTGGAAGTCTTCGACGACTTGGGTCTCAGCCCGGATGGGGAGACCTTCTCAAAATACTGGGTGTACTTTGATTTTTCGAATATCAAAGGCTTTACGAGACGAGGTGGATTATTATTGCGCTTCGAATTGCGTCCTTCAGTGAGATTTAGATCTTCATCTTCAGGACCGCTTTCCCCTACTATAAGTTAATCCATCAAAATCAAATTAGATTAATTTAATTACTGGGAATAAATTTTCGCCAATGTGGTAAAAAGCTATCATGAAAGTAACACATGGCGAAGTGTCACTTTGGCGAAAACGGAAAGCTCCTAAAATTAGGCTCGACTAGACAGACTTGATCTGTTATAATTAAACTAAATTCTTAGAAAGCGTTTCGCGAAAAGGGTTTTCGCCAAACCGACCGTCGCCTAATATCTACAAAATTTAAATAATGAGGCAATTCACGCAGTCCTTGATAACTTGCAAAACCCGTAAAATTTCTAAACTTACCTAAATATAGAAAGTTTTACAAATATTTCTAAGGGAAAGGAACTTATAAATTTTTGTAAATTTACTCAAATCGAGGGCGTCCTTTAATTTGGTAGAAGATTGTAAACCTATTTTACAAAACTGACGGATTTTACAAGTTAATTACTAATGACTGCGGTAATTCTGAATTGTCCCAATACATAGAGTATTCAGAAACGTTGAAAATTCAGCAAAAAATGTTAAATGCTCATCGACGACAGAACCGTTCGGATTGTTGTATTCCTTACTTTTTGGGCGTTTCTTCCTGGTCGTAAGTTTAACTCTTTGTTCATTTTTACTTTTCTAGGAATAAATTAAGTTTATAAAATTTCAGTATGATTTGTGGAAAATTTATATCGAACTAAAAATGGCATAAATCTGCTTATTTACATACAAACCTTACACTTCCTTGGCTTACGAACTTTTGTTTCATCTTGATCCTGAAATTTGTTTAAATTCATAAATCACAATTTATAAAATTTTAGAGATTATTAACAAACTACAAGGATTGACTGACTCGTGTTAAATTTGCAAAGATAATTTTGCCTTAAACTTTATAAATATTTTGCACAGCTTACAAAAACTATGGCATACTTTACCTCCAAGTGTGTATCGGCTTCTTCCTCTTCGTCGTCTCCACTCTCAATAAAATGCATCGACTCGCCGTCCTCAGCCTCCATCTCCACGTCGGGGCTGAGATCATCGTCGTAATCTAAATTAATTTCTGGATGCTCAATCTTAATCTCTTCCACAAGGACGTCGAGATTCATGTCGTCGATTGAACCTTGTCGTTCATAACTTGAAATGTCGATCCCATGACGCGTGTTAGGTAGGCGATTCGTGTCTGAAAAAAAAATTTGTGCATGCAAAAAATTATGTATTGTGACATTCGGGAGGATTGTAAATTTCGCAAACCTGCACAGTTTACAAACATCAACGTTAATTGAATTTTGATTTACCTAGTGGACCCGTCCTTCGAGAAATGTCTCGCTTTAACTGGTTAAAAATCTTAGCCTTTGTCTTCGTCATAACTTTTTTTTGTGGCTTTGCAATTTGGTTTAGCAAAGTTGTTTGGATTATTCCAAGTTTATTTTGAATTCGGTCAAGCTGTTGGACGAGGTCGTGACCGTGGGCGACCATTGATGAGCAGGAGGTGCACAAAATTAGCCAATCCGTCCCCGGAGGAGGGGAAGAAGAAGACGAAGGGGACGGAAAGTCCAAATATTTCCCACATTCCCAGATCGGAATCTACATAATTAATTAGAAACGTACTAATTATGTATTTAGTTAAAATCTGCATTAATTGTTAAAGTTCTTATCCTAGAGATTCACTTACCTGAAGAAGTTTATGAAGAATCGAAATAACGTGAAGGCTTCGCGATCTGTCGTTTCCCATCCGTGTCGAAATATTGCTGTCCGTACCGCAAAATAAGCAGCAGTCACGACCCGACATCTTAATTGACGATACAGTTCTGTAAATTCGAATAAGCTTGATTAATTGTCGGAAAGGGAAGTGTTGAAGTACAAAATTATCTAAAGACAAACAATTAAAATAAATACCTTTTCAAAATTGCGAACAAGTAAAGACCGGATTAATTGTCTAATCCGACCATCAAATGATGAGATAGATAGGTTTTTCGTAGTGATTTATTTAACAAATTCAATCACATTAAATATTTAGAAATTAGATTTGAGGTTTTTCTTCACAGTTTTATGAGAGTTTTATGAGAAAAGTTTTATGAGAGTTTTTTAAAACAGATGATGGTGTTTATTGTCACGCGGTTGGCGGTTGCGGTTTACCACCGTCTTTCTCATTTTGCTCTGTTTTCATACAAAATTTTGTTTTGTTTTGATTTTCATGAAACTTGATGGTCGCTGAGAAGAATGTTTTTTTTGTCATCGATTATTTCATCAAGATATGAATTTTTGTGAGTTTAATTATTATAAATACATGACGGAAAACTTAGAAATTTATCTAAATAGCAGTCCTAATATTTTTAGGGGTACAATTGTTCCTGCAATAATACATACATATGTACTTATCTAAATATAACTATTTCGTAAAATAATAGCACTGTAAAACACTTAATTTTAAGTCGGTAATAATTGGACCTATTTATTTTGGCATGTAATTAGTCATTCGTGTACATAAATATGTATGTACATAAATACAGTTAAAGTAGTGTGAAGCTCAATTTAGAAATTATGTTGTTTGTTTCTAAATAAATAGCTGTAAATATTTAGTCTGAAATGAAACTTAAGAAATATTGTAAGTAATTGATACCCGTTAAATCAAACGGTAACGTGTAATCCCTTAACTTTTCTGTGAACTTAGCCTCGGACCGTGGTTATGAGTTCGAAGTTCACCCAGGATCGTGATTGGCGAGAGGGACACGGAAGTATGCAGTCGCGCATTGCAGTTGTTGCTTCTTTGTCGGTCACAAATCCAAATTCGTTTGCTGCTCCCAAATTTTGCAGACGTGTACGAGTATCCGTTCACTCGGAGCTTTGGATTTCCACGCATAGTTTCAACAAGCTCGACTGAAGCCGTTGAGTAGTCAGTGTTAGCATTGTATTCCTTGATTCGAGTCTGTTTCTGCTCCTTCGCCTTTGTATTATTTCTTGCGACCTTTTTTGTGACCTGGGAATGACAAGGGTTTCGTACGATCTGCAGAAAATTATGGGAATTAAAAATTGCATAAATCTGTTAAGCGTATGAATTTACAAACCTTAACTTTCCTCGGTTTATGAATGTTCGTTACTTTACGTTTGTTGTCCTGTAATTAGTTAAAAATTTGTAGGAGTCATCGCAAAAATAGTCAAAATCAGCACATTCTTTTACTCATCTGTCGGCTCCGGAATTTTGTTTTAAAATTCTGGAGAATAAATTTGTTTGTTCCCAATTTTCAAGAAACATACGCATCAGATATTGTCCGTTTTTGAAGGAGGAGATCTCAAGCTTAGAAAAATTATAACTCATCGAGACTTGCTTATCTTGATTTAAAAAACCTCATCGCCATTCTGTTAATCAACTTACTGACTATAAATTCGTCGTCCAGAATTTTAATTACAAATTTTACAAAAACGTTTGCATATTTGCAAACAAACCCTATTATAAATCCATATTTACCATTTTGCATTCATCGTCTCCACTCTCACTGGACTCGGCATCGTCGCCAATTTGCACGGTCACGGGATTGATGCTGAAATCAAAGTCGTCGTCCCCGTCGTCCAAGTTAATTTGGGGATCCTCAACCTTAACGTTTGCAACCAAGATGCCGAGATTCATGTCGTCAATTGAGCCCTGTTCCTCCGGGGATGAAACGTTTGCTGCATTGCTAAACGTATCTATCGCAATGGGTCGGGAATTCATGTTATCTGGAAGGACACAGATTTGTGTGCAAAAATTACTTTACATTATCAATACATGCAATTGTGCATACAATTTATGAATAAACGTCCTATTTACCCCATAAATAGGACGTTTATTCAGATTTGTAAAATTAGAAATCTAATTTTTGCAAATTTGCACAACGAAGAAATCGCATCATTCATTATAATATTTATTTACCAACCTGGATCTCTCCTTCGCGAAATGTCCTGTTTTAACTGGTCAACAATTTCAGCATTGACTTTCGTTATAAAATTCTTTTCTTTTGGCGGATTAACGATTTGATTTTGCAAAGTTGTCTGGATTTTGGCGAGTTGATCGTGAAGTAGGTCAAGCTGTAGGGCGATGGCGTGACCTTGGGCGACAATGGAGGAGCAGGACGTGCATAAAATTAGCCAATCTGTCTCCGGAGAAGGGAACGAAGATGATGGAAAGTCCAAATATTTCCCACATTCTAAGATTGGAATCTATTTAATTTAATTGCAAGTTAGTTAGTTAATTAATCAATGTAATGATATTTTAATTATCAAAGTTCTTACCTGAAGAAGTTTATGAAGGATCGAGATGACATGAAGACTTCGCGATTTTTCGTTCCCCATCCGTGTCGAAACATTGCTGTCCGTGCCGCAAAATAAGCAACAGTCATGACCCTCAGTCGACATGTTAATTGACGATACAGTTCTGTTAATTGTAAATTGACAAGATTAATTATTGTACAGTTTTTCAATGTTTTCAAATTGAAAACATTGAAAATTTCAATGTTAACTTTAGTTTTAGAATTTAAAGCAATGTAAAAAAAATCTTACTGCTAAGAGCTGGGACGAAGGATTGGAATTATTTATTGTTCAATAATATACCAAATTACCAGAGTAGTCTTTGTAAGAAAGTTAATATAACTTAAATTTAATTTATTAATTCGATTTTATTTTTATGAAGTAAAAAACAGGGAACAGGTGCATGTGAATTTTCCGCGGTTAGGGATTCCCTAATAGGGAATCATGACATCTTCCTCATATGCTTTGTTGAGTTGTATGCATTTTGAGGGGAAGAATTTTCATGAAATTTATATATTTACAAATTGTAACTTACAATTGGTAAATATACATACTAATTCATTAATAAAGTACAAATTTGCCCGATCTTGTGCAATTTGAAATTTGAAATTCGATTCCATGAAATTTTTTCATTATAATTTTCATTTAGTTTGTACATAAATACCAATGGTACTCTCTTCGAAACGTGTTAAATAACTAAATTATTTTGATATTTAACAAGTCTAATGGAATAGATTTGTGTACGATTTTTCACACTATTTTATTTTGTATGATTTGTAACACTTGTAAATAAAAATAGTGCAAACTTTTTTAAATTTATCAGTTCAATTTTTCAATTTAGTATCGTCAGACATTTCAGCGTACAACTATCCTCCACTTTTATGCACAGATAAACCCCCCTTTGCCACATTCTGGGCGACAATCCCATGCATCTGCGAATTATAAAGCAATATTTATTTAAAATGTGAGGTCAAGGTTAGTCGAATTGAGGCAAATTAGTACCTTTAGATGTCTCCTCCAATTGTAATAACTTCCGGCAGGGATGGTACTTATTTGCGTGCATGTTACGCACCTCCCTCGAATACCATTTTCCTTCCGGTTAAACTCTTCCCCACCTTTCACTGTGCAAATGTAGGTAAAATGATCTTGAAATTCGGTTGGAATGGTGTAAAGTTCATCTTGAAAAGTTACGTCGTCTTGTTTCGACCCCTTGGTGTTAATACCCTTCCCCTCCGTTTCCGTGTCTAACGATAAGACATATATAAAAGTACAATGAGACAATTCACGCAGTCATTGGAAGCTTGTAAAATCCGTTAATTTTTAAACAAATAATTGTACAAACTTTTACAAAGTAAAGAGACGCCCTTGATCTGAATAAGTTTCCAAAAATTTGTAATTTACAAAAATTCTTAAGGAAAGTTAGCTTGCAAATTGTAAGCTAACTTTCCTTCAGAATTTTTGTAAAAGTTTGCAAGTTTACAGAATTTACGGATTTTACAATTTTTTCAAGGCCTGTGTGAATTGCTTAAATGAATAAAAAATACAAAAAATCTCCAAATTAATGGCGATGTTTGCTGCAAAATTTCACAAAATTCAGAAACGACTTACTAGTTCGAGTTACTTCCTGTACTTCAGAGCTTGAATTTGATGCAGATTTTGGAAGCGAGACTTATAGGAAATAAAAAATACTGATAATTTACATGTTTTTAGGGAGTTTTACATTTTACATATATTCTTCTTACTTCGAGTGCTTTTCTTTTTTCTTGTTGCCTTCAATCTTCGTGGACCTGTGTTTCCAGTGATCTTAGTGATCTAGAAATAAATTAAGTTAGTCAAATTTTCTGCAATTTGCGTTTAATAAATAAATCTGTAAATAAATCCACCTATCTTACAAACCTTGGGTTTCTTGCGTTTACGAACATCGTTCATTTCCCAGTCATCATCCTGTAATTTGACATAAAAAGTCGTACAAATTTAAAATTTCCAAAATTAATAGCTTATGAATAAAGTAACAAACCCCCTTAAAATTATAAGACACTGTTAACTTGTGTGCATTTTTTTTACACATTTTACAAAAATCTAGCATATTTTTCTGTACCGATGAATTTGCAGCCACTTCGTCGCCACTCTCAATGAAAAAATTGGACTCTTCTTCTTTATCACTTTCCACGGCCACGTGTTCCACGCTGAGATCATCTATTTCGTCTTCCTCATCCAAATTGATATCCTCAATCTTAACGTCTTCAACCAGAATGCCAAGATTCATGTCGTCAATTGACTCCTCTTGTTCAGAAGGTGAATAGTTTGCTAAATTGTTAAGAGTGCTTTTGGTACTGGATTGGCGGCTCTTGTTGTCTGGATAGATAACAACATTTATTTGCAAAAATCCGTTAAATTTTTCTTAATAAAAAAATTCATTCAGATTTGCACATTGTATTTAATTTTTTTATGCACACTTGTACAGTTTACAATTTAATTTATTTAATTTCTTTCCACCAACCTTGACCTGTCTTTCGAGAAATGTCTCTTTTCAACTGGTCCACAATTTTAGCCTTTGTCTTCGTCATAACTTTTTTGCGTGGGTTTGCAATTTTGTTTTGTAAAGTTGACTGGATTTTGCAAAGTCGATTTTGAAGGCGATCAAGCTGTTGGACAAGGTCGTGACCGTGGGCGACCATTGATGAGCAGGAGGTGCACAAAATTAGCCAATCCGTCCCCGGAGGAGGGGAAGAAGAAGACGAAGGGGACGGAAAGTCCAAATATTTCCCACATTCCCAGATCGGAATCTACATAATTAATTAGAAATGTATTAATTATGTATTACGTAATTAATTAAATAATATCTGGGCTAATCGTTCTTATCCTGGAGATTCACGTACCTGGAGAAGTTTATGAAGAATCGAAATAACGTGAAGGCTTCGCGATCTGTCGTTTCCCATCCGTGTCGAAATATTGCTGTCCGTACCGCAAAATAAGCAGCAGTCACGACCTGACGACATCTTAATTGACGATACAGTTCTGTTAATCGAATGAAGTGAACTAATTCATTTCAAAATTCAAAAGTTCAAAGTTTTATAGATGGAATATAGAACAAAATTAAATTCGTACCGTTTCAAAATTTGGATCCAGGACTGGAATTATTGACCGGATATGAGACACCAAATTGGCAGATTAAGCTTTCAAATTGTAAATTTAAATATCTGAGTTGTTTTTCAAATATAAAATTTAAAGATTTTGTTTTTATTATGAAGCAAAAAAACGGTGAAGTGAGTTTTCCGCGCTTTGGAATTCTTCCCAACAACTTGCTTTGTTTCTTTGCATGCATTTTGCTTTATTGAATTTTCATGCAACTTTACATAGACCGCACCGTACAGCATAAAAGATGTGGTCGACTTTTTAGGCGATTTTGTAGGTTTGTACTTTCTTTGCTTTAATGAAGCTGAAACGGATGAATAATAATAGGAAGACCATGCATAAAAACATTACAAGATTTACGGGAAGATGAATTTAATTTAAAGTGTTAGATTTTCATGGTGTTTTGACTTTGTTTTATGGATCAAAATTCAAAATTATACACAAAAATCGAACCCGACCTTTATGCAAGGTTTGTATTTATTTAAGGATCATTCATGTCATGCATTTTTGTGGATTTGTGCATCATAAAAAAATCAGAAAGTTACATACGTGTATCAAATCCCAGTCCTTGTTTTCTCCTAACCTAGTGAGATTTTCATTTTCACTACAATTGTATTCATGACTTCACTTTTGCTTAAGCTTGTTAATGTATACATACATACATACATGCATGTTCGCATCGCAGCATAGTTTTGAAAAAAATACAAAAGTTACATTGTATTGCGTTAAAAATGCTATTACGGAGGTGCGCAAGTCCGCGAATGATTTTAAAGTCAAAATTTTCTACCGACTTTCTTTTTCTTTTTAGCCAACGACTCAAACTCATAATGTAATGAATAAATTCATGGCCATGTCCAGCCACAAGTTAATCGTAACTGGATGTGGTTGCAAACTGTGTAAGTACAAAGTCGGTAAATAAATATGACGAATAGGAAGCAGAGAGTTATATGCAAAGTATGTATCCAATTTCTTGTAAGATATGAAGTGACTCGGTATAAGAGAGGAATTTGATGGCTAAACAAAACACGCTGTATGCACACACGTATAAATTTATTGGAACACTCGTATATAGAAATCCAGTATTAAAATAATACCAAACCGTATTCATATGTATGACTCAATCAAAGTGGTATTGAAAAGTAAAACGCGTTGTGCATATAGTAATAACTTGATATTAAATTGTTGCTATAATAAATACCAGCAAATTTTTACGGACCAGTGTAATTTTACATACATATATGTTATACCAAGCGGTAACAATGTAATACCGACATTTTATTAACTCCCTGGTCACATCAGGTTTATGGATAATATTGAAACCCCAATTACATTATTACATACTTAATCGCGAACAATCCTGATACTGCTTGTTACTTCGTGGAATTTTTTTTGCGACTAACTGTTGTCGATTTCTGCGAATTTGTTATATAACCATGACACCATAATGTTGTGAAGTGAATTTGATGAATGTACGAAAGAATTTTTAGAGTGTTAATGCAACATGGGATTTAGCGTGAGATGAAAAACATCTGAGAAAATATTTAGATAGTACCAGTACGCAAATTAAAGAAACAACAAGACCATTCTTTTACTTAGCTAATTTTTGTTGTATTTAAATACAAAACAAACGAAAAAAATGCTGGTGCAAGTCTGGATTTTATTGTTATTCGTCACAGCCAATTTTGCACGTATGTATGCATATCATACAATAATTATTGATAGATAATTTAACAATATTTTTGTACATGTTTATTTATTTACACAAAAAAATTGATTATGATAGCAATTTTATTTTAGTCGACTATGTGCAAGAAGATCCATGCAAAAGTTACCCTGGGGTGTGCAAACCAAAAACTGAGTGTTTTGAGGGTGCCTTGGACAAGATTAATGGGCAGTGGGGCTGTCCCAGCAGTCCGGCTGGGATCAAGTGTTGTCCTTCTAATGGTAAGCAATTGGCCAGTTACATATGTAACTGTAACTACTTAAATCAATTAATATGTAGTAAATAAATAGTCGTCAAATGAACGTCCACTTCGCTTCCACTTTGGGTTTATGTATGTATGTACATATTTGCATTTAAGTCGTTGATGACACCAATTTCAATACACACAGCGCAAAGTTGGGAAGATGTGTTGCAAAGCGACGTGAATACCAACATTTTAAAATCTGTAAATTTCTAAGCAATACAACAATTTTACTAATATTCTAAAGGAAAATTAGTTTACAAATCTTTATAAACTTACTCACAACAAGGGCGTCCTTTTATTCGTGCGTAAAAGTTTGCAAAATTATTTTACAAAACGCACCAATTTTACGAGTTACCAATCGCTGCCAGAATTAATTAATTATCTGTGACATTTTTTAGTGAGGTACGTGCAAGAAGAGCCATGTAAAAGTTACCCTGGCGTTTGCAAGCCGAAAAGTGAGTGTCCACAGGGTGCCCTTGACAATATTAATGGACAGTGGGGTTGTCCCAGCAGTCCGGCTGGGATCAAGTGCTGTCCATCCATCGGTAAGGAATTGACCAAATGTGTAAACATTTGGATTCACTTAATAAATTATTTCATGGGTAGTATGCCTAATACAAGAATTAACCAAGCAATTCATGCACTTGGTATTAACAATGTACATACATATGTTACATAGAGCAGATCTTATATCCACCCGATCAGTAGGGCGTTTAATAGCAGAGTCGTGAAAAATAGGGTTAGAAATCTGAAATTCATGCAAAATATGCTAAATATATCTGTCCACGTCTCCCCAAAATTTCATAAGTTTTCATGGGCAAATAAATTTCCTATCCCACTTCAAAGTGAGGAAATCGGGAAACGAGTTTTTGTAAGTACCAAAATCTGAGCGACAAGGACTCCTAGAAGGCTCGATTACATTTCAACGGACAAGGGTTTGAGCGCGCAAAAATTAAGACACACATAAAAAAGTATGGAGAATCCGAAAATGACAACTTCAAAAAAGCATTTGAAACAACCATCATATCGACTCGCGAAAATTAAAAATGATTAAATTTATTTTTGGAAAGTGTCGCTCCACGTCCGTGCCTGATGCGACCATGAAGTCAAAGATCAATACAAACTACGTGTATCATATTAAAGCCCGTAAATTGTGGGTCAAAGTGCATGCAAAAATATCTGTACCGAAAAATTTGGGAAGTCAAGAAAAATGGTAAACACAAGACCTGCCAACCTCTGCACCAAAATTTTACCAAAACAGTTGGTAATTGGTGATGTGTCGTACATTTTCAAAAACGTGACAGAAACTCCGGGGAGGCAATTTTTCATGGAAAATATGTCTATCAACTAAAAACCGAAGAGAAATTAAAATATTTTTCGAAATTTCTCAAGAAATCTCAGGTTAGGCAGGCGTTGGGTCAATTTGGGCTTGTTTCGGACTCCTCAGTTTAAATGGGCTGTGTGGAGGCACAGGCTTATTTTCGGAAATGTAATGTAGACTGTCTGATTCCTTTCATCAAGAAGTATCAAAAAATACAGAATTTAATTTTTTGGCCCGACCTTGGAACAATTCACAGTGCCACAGCTATCAAGGAAGAAATCGAAAAAAAATTCTGTTTGACGTCGAAAAATGGAAACCCCACATACGTCCCTCATCTTCGCTCAATCAAAAAACGTAGGCTGTGTGTTAGAAGGCATACCACTAGCTCTGTGAAACAATCAATACTTAAAGAAAATTTTGGTTACGGAGGGAGAAAATTAATAATGAAGTTGCGAAGTCTTCTGGAAAAGCATTAATGGCGGGCGCGACGAATAAGGCTAAATAAGAAGTGGATAATGGATTGAAGTCTTATTTGTTCGCGGATATGTGACGTCAGATATATTTAGCATATTATACCAAAATTTGAGATTTGAAGAATAATTTTTGGCAATTTTGAGGACGAATTTCCAAGTGATCGGGTTCATATAAGATTTGCTCTATGTATGTTACATATTTATGTACATATGATATGTAAATAAATGCATACCCAAATTTAGGATTTACGTCATTAATTTAAATAACCATTCCAACAAAAATAAGTTTCTGGAATTTCCATTTATTTCCATTAATTTGTCATTATAATATCATTATAATTAATTTGTCTTTATAATGTCACTCTCCACATTGGTACTAAGCCGACTTATTAAATGACAGAACATCTTTTACAAACAGAGTACAAACAGGAAGAACCTTGCAAAAGTTACCCGGGTGTTTGCCAACCTAGTAACGAATGCCCAGGAAGATCACTAGCTAAAATTGACAACCAATATTCATGCCCCTCTTCCCCCACAGGGATTGAATGTTGCCCAAATGGGGACGGAAATGGCGGAAATGAAATGGCGGAGGCACGACCGGAAATTGACCACGTGGTGGAGACACGACCACCCAAAATTGAGAAACCAGAATTAGCAGGAGGCAAAAAACACGGGCCCAACGGGGGATTCCAGTTCTCAGGAGATTTTAAAATAATTATGACAATGACCTTAATTATCTATTACTTCATGCAATTGTGGTAATACACTTTCAATCATTAAATACAATTATTTATGAATTCATGCAATTATTCATTTATTTTTAATTGTTAAATTTCCTACACGAATTGCATTTCGTTCATTTTTATGAATTTTTTGGCATTGTTGATTGTGTGCGTTTCCAATTTCCAGGTATGAATTTTATTCTATTTAACGCAATATGCATGTAGATATACATGCATATAACATTATGTATTGAATTGCACTATTGCAGAGGCATATAGATACATACTTAGAAACAGTGCTCTTCTTACCCAAACCATATGCAATTACAACCTGTTTCAAGTACTTACATACTTACAACGATAGGATAAAACAATTGAAATATGAGAATACCGGATTTCTGCTTCATGATTGCACAATCCATGTACTTTCAGTTATTGCTCAATGCAGATTTTGCAGAAGTTACATATTTTCAATGTTTGGCAGCAGATAGTAAATAACTACATAATAATATATATGTATGTATGTACATAGGCAGTTATGTATTTACCAGTAAAAATGGATGTATTACGTCCATTTTTGCTGGTACATATGTATGTCCACAAACGAACAAATCAGCATAACTTTGCTAAAAAAAGTTTTGACTAGACTGACTTAAAATATAACAAGCACCGATTTTGGTCCCAACTTGATCCAATTATAGTTTTACCATAGCTATATCCGCAATTTATTTGCATACAGAAATCTACAAACCAAAATGTGTACAAACCTGGCATTTTTTGGAGCGTGAACTTCCTACCCACTTTACAAATCTTGAATAACTATTTACCTAGGTACATCATAAATTTACAAATTATCTCCTACCTGAATCAAAATTTTCTTAAAGTATCGACTGTTTCGCAAAGCTGGGAGTATGTCTTCTTACATATGGCCCACATATTTTTATTGCGCGAAGATAAGGGTTGAATGTGAGGTTTTCATTTTTCAACATAAAAATGAATTTTTTTTTCGATTTCTTCCATGATAATTTTTAATCAATTTCATTTTATTTATGTTGAGTATTTAAGTTCTTTCCGTTTAATTTCCTCTCTTCTAGATTAATTCTCGAAAAATTTCGAGACGAAGAAGCTTGTCTCGTCGTGTAGCTCGTCTACTCTGGAATCTCGCCTCGTGTCGAGATTTTCAAGATGGTCTCATCTCACACACTATGTATGTACTTATGTATAAATAATTGCATGAGCACATCTTTGTACAATCAATTTTTTAGTGTTACTTGATGCAAACCAGTCATTAAATTGTATTGATGAAGGGATAACATGTGAATAAATGACTATCAATCAATCAATCCCACGTACATATGTAGAAAATTTCCCAAGTCCAGATCGGCATAAATGTACATTCACATACGTAAATATAATAATCATAATATTTAATGATTGATAAGAATATAAATACATACATACATACATGCATATATATATGTATAAGACGTATATTCTTATCAGTAAAAACCCATGTTAAAGTCCCTTGAAACATTTTTGCATTAATGCTTGTCTACGAAAAAGTATTATATAATGGTATAATTTCATACCTCTCTTCCTACCAATTTTCCCTACAAAGTTTGCTCCCGAGAAAAGTCTATTTAAAGACCTGCACAAACGAATTCTGAGTTGCATTAAAGTTCTACAACTTCAAAAACAAACACGATCGGACGTTGAATATCGAACTTCTCTAAACTCTAAGAAAATCGTAAATAAACTTTCCAAAAATGGAGAAACACGCATATGCTACGTATGCACGTAATGCCAAAGAAGTAGAGGACGCTTTAATTCTCTTGAAATCCATTAAAGAAACAAAGAGTTTTAAACAAGTGCTGATTCTACAGGACTCTGCAAATTGCGGACATGATTCCTGGTAATTTAAATATATGTGGTTGAAAATATCCATATTCTTGAAACTAAAATTTAACAATTTCCTTAAATTATAGGAATAAATTGGATATTGCATTTGACAAAGTTATTAAAATCCAAATGAATTGCGAGTACGACGTCGATCACGTTAAATTTCAACTCTTTTTAGCCTGTGCAAGTCTATGGGACTTTGATCGCATCTGCTTAATCTACCCAAACGCATTGGTAAATGGATTGACGGTCAGTTTGGCGATAGCCAGTTTGGAGAAAAAAAATTTTCGCCAATGTGGCAAAAAATTGTTATGAAAGTACTCAATGGCGAAATTATTGTCACATTTGGCGAAAGTGAAAAATTCGTAAAAGTACATTTGGCGAAATTTAAATTTCGCATTTATTTATGACAAATCGCTTCATTGTAGGCCTAATTCTTGAGCTGTCCTAAAAATACTTTGGCAAAGGTGGAACCAACTCAATTAATGTCTCTAACACGGACTTTATAGTGTCAATTTCCGCGACCTCGAAATCTAGTATGATTTGAGAAGGATTATAGTTTTTGACGTTCTTTTACAAACTCAAATAATATTTAGTAGAACTCTGGTTTTTTAGGGAGAAGGGCATAAACCATTGGGAATCATTGTTCGGCTTGTGTCATCAATTGGTTCTTAAATGCAATGTATTGTGTAAAGTTGACCACTTTTTTGAATATTTTTGGACATGATTTGAACGTCCCGTCACAAACTAAATGTATCCGATGTTCCACGGAGGGTTGAACGCATGCAATACCGATCTATATGGAAGCGAACGCAACACTCTATGGGGAAACAATCCTCATGCTATATCAGTTGCCGGTACTAGTACCGACGAGAAAAATATACTAGTGAGTTCATATCTATACAAGCGAAGCTACATCAGTCATCCATGGGTTGAACGCTCTTCATTAGTTGCGATTTTCCCAAAATCCTCGTTTTCGCCAAATAAGACATTATTTTCGCCAAAAGGCATTTTAAATAAAATGAAACTAACGTACAATGAAATGCATGAAATTTTTTTTTCGTCAAATGGGATTATTTTTTGGCGAAAGTTTTTCGCCAAAAGTGTTTTCGCCAAACTGACCGACTACCGGTAAATGACCTAAGAATTAAATACTGTTGACACTATAATCTAAATAATTTGGAGATAAATCCTCAACCGCGAAAGTACTATAATGCTCTTTTTTGGACAATGTTTTGTCACCAACGGGAAACAAATCAAAAATTCGTGTATCAATCAGAGGTCAACGCCGACGGTTTACGCGGCGGCGGCGGCGTGAAAAGGTATATTGGTCGGCGGCGGCGGCGCGCCGCGGCGCGGTCCTCAAATATTTTCGGCGGCGCCTACATAAATTACTAAACCTATATACGCTAAATAGGAAGGATCTGAAACACGCTAAATTAGCATTGCTAATGATCTAAAACTTGCAATATTTCTTGGAACGTCAAGTAGTCAACTTTAATTTGATCGTATCGTAAATGTAATCAGGTAAATTTCAAAACGAAAATTTGTAAAATATCAATTTTCAAAATTAAACAAAATTAATAATTTAAAAAATATTAAAATAAAAAAAAATTAAAAAAATATTGAAAAATTCAGTAAATTAAAAAAATCATCAGATTTAAATGTAAACCGGCGGCCGAATATTGGCGCCGGCGCGCCGACCAGATTTTCGCGGCGGCGGTGGCGCGTCAAAACGGTTCGGCGTCTGGCGGCGCGGCGGCGTATAATCGGCGGCGTTGACCTCTGGTATCAATCATACGTGACGTCGACATTACATATGTAAATCAATGGCTGGATGCACAAAAAATTTTGTAGCTACATTAACAATGTTATTTTTTTTGTAAATAACGACCTCACTTGTGTTTGATACATGAACTTATTTCTCGTTGGTGACAAAATATCTCCTTAATCATTACTCAAAAATGGAACACCATATTGGTTTTTGGTAATACTATCGCCAATAACGATTGACGATTTATCTCTAAATTATTTAGAGTGTGCAAGTATATATACATTTCTTCATAAAATTGTTGGACTTTGTCATTATTACATAAATGTCATGTCGAGTGGTTCTAATTAATTTGACTCTAAAAACGATCCACGTTTTCAAAACTTTTGTCTAACTTGTTTAATTACAAATACATTTTTTATGTATGTCTCAGGTTCTTCAAAATGTGGATGACATTTTTGCAATCGATGCTATTAAATTTGTATTCGGGAATGGCGTAGTCGTATTGACACCTGGCGTGAGAGCTGATCAAGATTTACGGAATTATCTTAACGGTTAGTTTGAAGACTTTTGTAATTGGTTTATAACATCATTTGTAAAGCTGGATGGTTACACACAGCGCTTGGCAATTGGTTTTTAAACCATCCCATTAAAACTTTGATGCTTTGCAAATATAAATTTTCAATTTTGGGGGCCGACGGAAGATTGTGATACTGTTTTTCTAAAGGGTAATACTTTGCTTTTAAAATCTCATTTTCCAGTCTTAACTCTGATTTCTGTCCTTGGTGGTTCTGTTTTTGCATTGATACCCCAACTTTTCATTAAGCTTGTGACATCTTGTACGGTTATAAAATATATTGGCCATTTTTCTGAGAGATACTATCAATTTTTGAATAAGACAGGTTTTGAACTTGCAGTATAACTGAAGTTTTAAATTTTTTAAGGACCTCTAATCATTTCTCTGTTACAGTAGCGACATCCAGACGCAATCTTTCTCGCCTACGACCCGGTAAAATTGCAAATTGTTGTGTTCATTAATGTGCTAAATAGTGTAGTAACAAGAAAGTATAGTGACTTCTGTATCTTATTATTATGGGTCGCTATTCCATTCTGTAATATTAATTTTCTCATTGCAAAAAAGAGTAACTATGTGATAATAGGTGACTGAAATGTGTGATTTTGTAGGTATTGGAAACGAAAAAACATTGAACCAACTGCAACGTATGCTACTAGGCGATTCTAAGGCCATGCTCCTGGACGACAAATTTAACATTGACTTTCGAAGGGATGAAAACGCACCCTGTTCAATCTACGAACTCGGGGACAGGAACATTGATACCAACTTTAAAAAATGTGTCCCAAACTTAAGCGCAGTTACCTGTGTGAATTTTAACTTGAATTCTGTAATGAATATGGATTCCGAAATACATATCCGCAACTTAGAAAGATTGGATAAACTTATTGGATTACTTTTATGGAGGGAATTTCTCTATGCTAGCTTCGATGGTTTGCAGCCACAATTCAGCCTTCAAAATATTATGTCTCATTTTCGCATCCTTCCACAATTTCAAAAGGTGACTTGTTCAAATTCTTGTTGAAGACGAATACATTTCCATGCTAGGAAACTACTATTTCACGGAACGCAGACATTATGAAAGTTTACCAAGTGTCAATAAATCAGTGGAGAACTTTGTAGCAGAGGTGCAAGGCGAATCACTGTTGTTAGAAGTGCAAACTGCTATCTCCACTGTACGTCGTATCTTGCCAATACTCCGTGGAGATGAGGCATTGCCTGATAATTTAAACGATGAAATTTTATCTCCGGAGATATTTTACAAGAAACCTGCTTTTCTAAAAGTGACTTATAATAATTTAAGGGAGGCTTTTGAAAAAAATGTTTGCGGTAAATAGAACACGCGTGTTATAATTTATGCAAAGTAATAAGTTAGCTGTGACATAATTTAAAGTATAATATATTTCAGGTCCACTAAACATTTTGGAAGTTGGGGCCGGAACTGGGTCGGCGACCGAATGTCTGATTTCAGTCCTAGAAGAAAAAGACCTAGACTTTTCCTACACCTACACCGATGTTTCATCAAAATTTGTTGAACAAGCTAAGGCCCATTTTTCAAACTTTGAGTGCAAAATGCAATACTCAGTATTGAATATCGAAAACGAAACGAAATCTCAAGGGTTTGTTCCCTACACGTATGACGTAATCCTTGCAGCTAATGTTCTTCATAGAACAAAAGTGAGTACAAACTTTTGAGCCTATTGATGTTTTTCTTAAAATTACATTATTTCTTTCTTGAAATTAAGGATCTAGCTCAAACCACTCGAAACGTTGCTCATTTATTGAAACCTGGAGGTCTCCTTTTACTTGTTGAGCTATTCAAGCCACAACGACTTTTGGACATTTCTTTCGTCAGTGGATTTTGGGGATTTCAAGACTTCGACCGAAGGCCAAATCATTGTGTCATTGATTCACATGCATGGGAAACCCTCTTGAGAACGTGTGGATTCCAAGGTTTAACATGCCATTCCAGTTTGGATGATAGGTCTGGATTAATTGTTGCCACTCAGTGTTTCTTTTTGTGCGCACAAAATTATTTTTGTGCATGCATAGTGCATAAAATGCACAAAAATGCATAAAATGCACAAAAATGCACAAAAATGCATAAAAATAAATATCGAGGCAGAATGCCGCTAATTTCACATTTCACTTTTATATACGCTCAACAATAATTGAGCATTGTCATTTTCTAACAATCAAAATTTTATCAAGTCGGAAATTACGAAAAGTATTTTTAAATTCCAAATATTAGAAAATTGTTTTACAGTGCTAATATTGTTGAAAAACATCGTAAAATAGCTTAGCATTCGTCCATTATCTTAAATATTCAGCGTTGCTGCATGGTAATCAGCTAAATTATTTTTGTGCATTTTTGTGCATTTTGTGCACTTTTCCGGATTTTTGGTGGGTGTTATTAAACGCATAAAAACATTTTTATGCACTAATTTTGTGCAGGTGTTTTTTAACAGCAGAAACACTGTTGCCACTAGACCGACAGCAAAAATTGAATACGTGTGTTTGTAGACATGAATGCTAAGAAGAGGAATAGGCATATTTTGGATTTAATGATTAGCTTACAGAAGATTGACATAAATAACGACCTAAGAATTTCTGGAGAAGCTATCGCCCTAATTACTTTACGAAATTCATACAAGACATTCAAAGTTAACATTGAAATATACCAGAATGATGAATAAGGGCATGCACGAGTATTAACCAAGTTTTGTGAAATCTAATAATTTACATGTAGGGTTTAAAGTCAGATAAATTTATTTCAGCAGCGAGTCAGTGTTGTTTGTTAATTTTTTATTCCTTTTATATTAATTTTGAGGTACTTGGAAAAACTAACAAGATTATTTATAGTAACGCACTGCGCCCAATCAATGAACATGATAGCTGGAGATTCTTGCCATAAGTCTGACACTGCTTTACTGGTTGGAATGGGCAAGATATATGGGCAACTATAATACTATGTCGAATATGCGATAAAGATAAGGTTTTTCGTACATATATATGTATATATGAAAATACAATATCTATTAGCAAGGCAAGAATCCTCATTTTCATATATATGTATTAACGTGAACCATTCGCAGTTCATCTGCACATAGATCGATACACGTATGTATGTATTTACAGTATGTACCCTCGTAAATAGATCAGTTTGTATTGTGTCATTTTTATTTTCTGAAATAAAATCTGCACAAAATATGCAAATTGGAGTGATTGATTCTCTTGGAGAATAATTCAAGCTCAAGAAGTGTTACAATTTTGTCCCTCTCGAGTAAAGATGACAAATATTTACCTTGTTTACGTAGACAAGCTCAATTGTTTCATACGTGCATACATATCCAGCATTTATACAAACATTATACAAAAATTATCAATATTCTACACAGCAGCTATAAACCAGTCACATAAAACTGCCAACCAACTTTTTTGATGGCGCAATAAATATGTGGTTATCTCAGATTTTTCTAAACCAGACTCATTGCTTCTGCTTCTATCTGTAGACGAATATTGCTAATTTCACCAATCTCAAGTCGTCAACCATCGCCATCGGGATTTAACGTTGTCCAAATGGTGCGAAAAGGGTGAGGACGGAATTGAGGAGATCCCACCACCGAAAATTGGGAAACCAGAAGGCAAAAAGCACGGAACCAACGAGGGATTCACTTCACTAGAGATTTTAAAGTAATAATGACAGTGGTCTTAATTATCTATTACTTAATGAAATTGTGGTAATACATTCTCAATCATTAAATTTAATTATTACTAATAATTTATTAGTATATAATATATGCTATATATGCACAATTGTAATCAATTATTTAATTATTTTTAATTATTAAATTCCCTTCATATGTTTTACATTTTGTGCATTGTATGTATGCATTTATATGCATTTTATGCACATTTTCATGTATACATGCACTGTAGTATACAACAAATGTATACCATATTATTTTTATATAAATAATATTGTATTTATACACAAAAAGAAAAACTGCTCTTCTTACATAAACCACAAATAAGTATGTATTGTAATTGCACCTGGTTTTACATAAGTGCACTCTTAGAAATCCAGTATTCAAATAATACCAAGGCGTATTCCTATATGACTCTACCAAAGCGGTATTCACAAGAAATACCGGGTAGTATTAGTTCAGTATTAAAGTTTTATCATTTCGGTAGAAAATTTTTACAGACCGGTATACTTTTAATACCAAGAGGTAGCAAGTTTAGATAATAACGAAAAATCAATACCTGCATGACTATACCAGATTTCTAGCAGTGTACATATGTATGATAATATGATTCATTTAACCCTGAGATCTATTTATTTATGCAGTTGCTTATTCTTAGGTGAGGCATAGTAACCATGACCACATGAAAAAGTGCATGGTTACGGCGAAGCCTTAGTATGCGAACAGACCCCCCCTCCAAATATTCCGCTCAAGTTTGTGGCAAAGCGGCTAATCGTATCAAAATGGTGTAAAAGGCAATCGTGCAGACCTTGCTGGGTAGATGATGCCCGTCAATTCGAGATAGATGACAATCTTATTTTAATGCATTTAAAATCGATTTCAAACTTTCAAACGACTGGCAAATTCACTTTTACCATGCAATGATAGTGCGAGACCCTGATTTTCATGTGCAGAAATCTATAATGCGTCATTTAAAACAAACCCGAGCGAAATCGGATAAGAAATGAAAAACTTTTCTTGGTAGCATCTGCAACCAGTTACGTTACTTATAACAGTCCTCCATTACTTATCATGCATACCTAACTACGAGGTTTCCATTAGTAACCAGCATAAGAGAAACAATTGAGACCTGTCCTGGCGTATGGAAATATGTACATCTACATATATTATGTATATATCTAATATTTATGCACACTCTTAACTGAAGTTAAGAATGTACACTCTTAAAACCCGGTGCTAATCGTAACCAAACGGTGTACATATGCCACTTAACCAAAAGGTGATATGTTTTTCACCGCTTGGTGATAAATCTTGCCCGCATGGGGACAAATTGTCACTGGCCAGTGTCAAGTTTACCACCATTAGGTGAGACACATTATTACCGTACGGTGAAGGCACATACATACACCGTTTGGTGACGATTAACACCGGATTTTTAAGAGTGTAATAGCTCAGTACCAAGGTTTTGCCATATCGGTAGCAAATTTTTACGGACCGGTAGAATTTTAATATCATGCAGCAGCAACTTTAATACTAAAAAAACAATACCTGCCTGGCTATACCAGATTTCTACGGTGCATTTACACTTGCATATAGGGTAATTAATCTGATATGCAACGCATCCGCACCCACATGTTATAATAAATTTGGTATACAATGCAATGCATCTACATCCTTGAGGGATTGTGAAGTGAATTAGGGACTCTTATTTTTAGGCTTAAAAACAAAAAATAAATAAATTCTTACAAAAAAGCTTAGGTGAGGCTTGCTTAAAAGAGGAAAACAAGTTGTTATCATCGTGTACTAAAATTATTTGATACATCAGTGTTTATGTAACGATTTGAAATTCTCAGTAAATATTCCAGTAAACAATATGCATCACGGACCATTTGCCTCACCGTGGGCCATGATCAATTGTTTGATACAGATATACCTTCTTGATGGTCATACTTCAATATGAAAAATTTACAATAATTAAACTTCGTCCATTATTTAATTATAATATGAAGACCTGAGCAATAAAAGCCCCAAACTCAAAGTCAAAATTAATTTCGTTGGAAATTTTGTTATTTTTAATAAGCCCCAAACTCAAAAAAACAATTTAAATGTAATTATAATTTGGAACTACAGAAACGGCAATAATGACACTTCAATTTAACAAAATAGGAAAGCATCTTTAGATTATTCTAGGAAACGCCAGAAGTTTCGTGATTCTATTAGAATGAATTCGTAGGTGTTCTTCAAATCAGCAAGCAGGGCTGGTGGAATGGGTATTTTGTGTGGTCTCAATGGGCGAAGATGAATGTTGGCAAAATTGTTATGGAGCACAGAATGATGCTGAGTCCAAGCGACACTATCGTGGTCGGATTTTACTTCTATAACATTTGGGGCTTGGTTGACCATTCGAATTGATAGGACCTGCGAAACCTTGAGCGTTCTTGGCCATGGGCAAGCTAGGACCAGAGGTTGCAAGTTGAGGAAATCCTTAAGTTCCATTCTTTGAATTAGGAATGGACGAACATGGCAGGCATTTCGAATCATATTTTCGATATCCGAAAATTCAATGAGAGTTGTTTTCTTTCTAGCATTTTCTAGGATTGCAAACTGACGATCACACGGTAGAAATGAGTGCCCGGAAACGAGAAACTTTTGATTTACCTGCGGGTTTAGGCAAAAATATTACAGTTAGCTAATTGCTCGTAAATTAAAGTTTAATAATAATAATACCCACCGAAGAAAAAATCTGCTTACTAATTAGCCAGCGATACATGCACAAGGTCTCAAAGTTGTTATTTTGCCCACCACATCGGTCCGAGAACACAATTAAGTGCCGTACTTGACCTTGGTTCAAAGGTGGAAAATTTTCTGTGCAATACTTCTTAATGCAATTTGCAATCTCACAAGCACCACGACTTCCTTCCTGCATTGTCCATAGGCACATTGTTGTCATCTTTGTCCCTGCGTTGTAAATCCCAAGATTGTAGACCACATACTTCCTTCTGTAATAATGCTGTCCGTGCGTTAGTTCAGGTATGTGAATGGCCTATAAGGAGGGACAAACTATGTTCAGAAATGTAAATGTATTTCAATTTAGCGTGTTTTATAATTATGACCATGTCATTGTCTTCGCTTTGAAGTTCAATTATGCTTATTCTCAGTTTTATCTATTTTGCTTACTTCAAGATAATCTTTGATTTTTAACCTCATTAGACTAATTCAATTATGTATGTAACCTTTATTTGAATGTGAGTTGACCATTTTATCATTGTTTCCTTGTTCAATTCTCGGAAGTCTCTTTAAGTTTGTACCTTTTCTCAAGTCAGTACTTTTCCGTAATATCTTCCGTAAATGCTCGGTCACTCACACGTACTCTATAAATACGGGTGCATTTTCCATCCTCTTTGTTATTCTGCAGTTACCTGTACTGTCACTCTGTCCATTTGGTCACCATAGTCTTAATTTGCCCCTTTTTGTAACTTACACATTTTTATGACAATACAATAATTAAGTGACATTAGTAATCTCCTATCGTCTCAAGTTGCCTCATTCACAATCTGTCCATTCTTACATTTTGGACAGATCCATTTCTGTGCCGCATCATTACACTGCACAGAAACTCCACATACACACTTCTGTGCAGTCTCGCCATCCGCACAGAAACTCTGCCGTTCAGTTTCTACCTTCACAAACCATCCACAAATTTCGAAACACTAACTTTCACACAATTGCTCGTTGGGGAGCCAACATCCCCAACAAACTAGTAAATCTACAATTATTAGTGGTATTTTAACTTTAAAACTTTAACTCACAGCTTGTAAGTCGACCGCTATCACAACATAATCTTCATTGGCCAAAGAATTATCTAATTGCAGTTCTTCATAACTGGTTTCTGCTTGTAAGTGGTGCGCTTGACTTTTCATCTCAATTTCACGACGTCTGGCGTTTTGAGCTGGGTCGTTTACATCAATCCCCGAGAGTTGAATAAACAGCTTGTCGCATAAGTCGCATGTGTCGCTCCTCGGAATTCCTATTTTGAGAGGTTGCTCACGAAACACTTGACGGTACAGCCACTCCAAGCGGTTGATATGTTCTCCTTCTTGGATCCGGAAAAGCGTGAACATTTTTGACACGGTCAAGGTCGGGTCCAGGTACTCTCGCAACGGGTTACCGGCCTAATAGTAAGTAAAATTAGTTCCAGAATTACTAAATTATTAATATCGTACTATTTAAATTACTTCTCGAGAGTAATGGGACAATCTCCTCGGGAAGGAATTGATGTGCGCTAAGATCCGATCTGCATGAGTTGGATCCACTCTCTCATGTAAAGTATTCGTCCCACGTTTATCAGCCAAGTCAACAGTTCCCGAAGCAAGTTTTTCTTTTACCGTGCGGAGTCGATCGGGGGTTATTCCAAAGGTCGATAGAAAAGTGGAAACACACACTGGAACCTTCAATCCTTGGTCATTGCTTAAATAATAAGCGTATGAGTGCTGGCGCCTGCTTTGAGCATGAGTGGTGGTTCGTTGGTTAACATTGATCACGTCAATCATTCCTGCCAAGATGTCCGTCTGACGGTTGTAACTCCCTGTCCCCCAGAATTCTTGGAAAATCTGTTGGCGTCGTGGAAAAGGGAGCCTACACCCGGGCTTTGAGCATCGTGGTGGACAGGCTTGGACCTTTGGAAGAAAAAAAGACTACTAAAAAATGCTATGCAGTCAAATAATAATGATTTTACCTGTGGAGGAGGAATCTTGGCTTGCTTGACAATTCCACGTCCTCCAACATACTCCTCTCCTCGATCTTTGCTCATTTTATTTTTTTTATTTTGCCAGTCGTCGAAGTTTATCTTTCGCTTCTTCCCGTCGTTAATGTGACACAATTCATTAACTGTGATCCGAAATTGCACAGACATGATTAAATTAATGCTCAAGAAATAGCCAATTTTTAAATTCAACCAAGTGCCGACAGCAGGAAATTTTAATTTTGAGTTTGGGGCTTTCAATATTTTCATTTTTGGAGTTTGGGGTTTTTAATATTCAAAGAAAAATTGTAACTAACGCCAACAAATCGACTTTTGAGTTTGGGGCGTCTCTTCCTGTCTTACTATCCTTAAATGGTTTCTCGATCCCCATATCTCATCAATAGATATGGGGATTATACCTGAGCAACTAGATAGCCACTGTCATACGGTGTAAGTAAGAGGATATGCAATAGATCTGATGGATGATCTGAGCATTGGGCTCCTCCAACAAGAGGAGCCCTCCTCCCAAAATACATACATAATCAATTGGATCATCCATCGATTATGAATAACGGAATTAGATGACTTTTTATCAATGATAAGAACAAATTACTCAAAATTATAAGTGAGGTTTTCTGAAGACCTCCTAAATCCATAAATCTCCTAAACTTGTCGTCATATAAGTTGTGAACTTGGCAAAAGAATGGAAAATCTCGGTAAACTAAATCCAGAATCGTTTTATATGAATTATTTACCCCGTGTTTTCTCTGCAGTGAACACTAATAAAATTTAAAACATATTTCAATTTTTTGTATCACAAAACGGCCCACGGTGAGGCAAATGGTCCGTGATGCATATTGTTTACTGGAATATTTACTGAGAATTTCAAATCGTTACATAAACACTGATGTATCAAATAATTTTAGTACACGATGATAACAACTTGTTTTCCTCTTTTAAGCAAGCCTCACCTAAGCTTTTTTGTAAGAATTTATTTATTTACATTCATTTCCATAGTCTCCAACACGAACAAGTGATAATATGTAGGTAAATAGGTGAGTGTGAGTGAGTATGTAGTTATGCAATAACATGCTTTGTTATAAACTACTTTCTTAGTACTAAACTACTACTAAGAAATACTAGGTAAACCCAACTTGGCTTGACCAATATGTACGCACCGTGAAAATTATGTATATAGGTAATATATTTATCTTGTAGTTTGAACTTTGGGTTACCCCCGAAAATGCAGGAATTTCCACACGAAGTAGATTTTAGGTATTCTGACAATGAGCTCTTACATTAATATGTATTCACACATCTATGTATTTATCCTACGAAAAGCCAATCTCAATATTTATTCAAAGGTGAAAATCCCATATATGTATTTATGTAAAAAAAACTTCCAAAACTTCCGTCCAAAATTTGTATGCAAGGTAAGCAATCTTCTTAATAAATGTCGGTTTCATGATTTAGATAAGGGTAGGTAGGGAGGTAGGGGATTTAGGTAGGGGAGTAGTGGGTTTATATAACATGGACAGATGATGGAGACATCAAATAATCTTGTGGACATTGTTCCTATGTCCCCACTCTTCCGCGGCCACTGGCTGCGACACTGCATTTAGTACAACAAGAGGATCAAACAATTAAGATGCTAGGATAACTGGAGACCGGATTTCTGCTTTATGACTGCACAGTCCAGGTACTTTATGCTTTTGCTCAATGCAGAACTAAGTTATAACTTACATACATACTGATACGTGTATGTAAAATGTTTGGCAACAGATAATAAATAACTGTCTATACACATATGCATTACTACAGATACTATGTATATACATATATGTATGTAGGTAGGTATGTATTAACAAAGGAACAAATCTGTATCGTTTCCCCAAAAAGCTTTGACTTGACTGACTTAAAATATCGGTCAGTTTGTATGAGGAACATTTTTGGGGTGTCAGGCACAGATTTTAGTTCCAAATTGAGCCCAAGTTAATCCAATTATAGTTGTACCATAGCTTTATCCCTATTTCATGTTGATACAGAAATCTACCAGTACAAACCGAAATATGATCTAAACCAGGCATTTTTTGGAGTTTGGCTGCCCCTTCGTACACTTCCCGCCTACTTTACAAATCATGAATACCTAATCCCATCATAACTGTACAAATTTTTAATCAATTTCATTTTATTTATCTCAAGTTTCTTACGCTTAATCTCGTCTCATTAATACATTTGTAGATCAAATCTGCGAAAAATTTTAGACTAAAAAGTTTGTCTCGTCTCATTTCGTATTTCGTTTCGTGTCGAGATTTTCAATAAGGTCTCGTCTCGTGCCGAACACTATAAATCCACATTTATGTGTACACACATTTATGTTTGTATGTATGTATGCAGACAATTTTGCAGATCGCATAAATGTACATCATATATGCACATATGTATGTATGTATATTCTTATCAAGCAACATCCATGACAAAGTACCTGAAGACCTTTTTGCATGAATAATTGTCTACTAAAAAGTAATATCGATGTATCTAGATATACATGGTATATTTTCCTACCTCTTAAAGTTTGGGGCCATGAAAAGTCTATTTAAAGGCCTGCACAAATGAATCCAGGGTTGCATTCAAGTTTTAGAACTTTAAGAACCATTACAACTAACAAAACCGGAAATCTAAATACTTATCTAAATTTTCTCACCTTTCAGAAAGTCGTAAACAAACTTCCAAAAAATGGAGAAGCACGCATACGTTACGTATGCACGCAATTCCAAAGACGTAGAGGACGCTTTAATTCTCTTGAAATCTATTAAAGGAACGAAGAGCTTTAAACCGGTGATGATTCTGCTGGACTCTGAAAATTGTGGACATGATTCTTGGTAATTCAAATATATTTTCATAGCTGCAAATTTGGGTATTGTTGGAACTAAAATTTCATAATTTCTATAAATCATAGGAACAAATTGGCTATCGCATTTGACAGAGTTGTTAAGTTCAGGATTAATGGCGACTACGACGTTGATGACTTTAGATGTCAACTCTTTCTAACCTGCACCACGCTTGTGGACTTTGATCGGATCTGCTTAGTAGATCCAGACGCAGTGGTAAATTACCTGGGATTTAAATATTGTTGCAAATAACACTACATGTGTATCTGCATAACATTTTTGGGCTTGATTGTCATTTAATGCTGAGAGATTCTAATTTTAAATTTTTACTAAAAAAATATCCTCGTTTTCAAAGCTTTTGTTTAATTTGTTTTGTCACAATTACATTTTTTTTGAATGCAGGTTCTTAAAAATGTGGATGACATTTTTGCTCTCGATTCTACTAAATCGATATTCGGGAATGGCATAATTGTATTGACACCGGGCGTGACAGCTCATCAAGATTTACTGAACTATCTTAACGGTTAGTCTGATTTTTTATATAATGAGGGTATAATTTGTAAAGCTGTGTGGTTACAACATGCTGTTGGAAAAGGTCAATCTACTCTTTGAAACATCTATTTTGCAAATTGGCGGATATATGCCTTTTAAATTTTGCAAATACCAAGGAAGATTGTATTTTTTTGAACTTATGGGTCATATTTTTAACCAATCTCATTTTCCATGTGCACTATGATATTTATCCTTGGCAGTTCTATTTTTTCATTGGTACCCTAGCTCGTCTTTAAAATTTTAGCGTCTTATACCAAAGGGAGGGCGTCTCCCTGATAATGATTTTGACCATTAATATCTTTGGCGCTATTAATAATTTTGAATTGAAATTTTTGAAATTTGCTGACCTTATAGTGAACATTATGGGTGCAAACTTTCAATTCGCTAGTGCGAATGGCCACTAGCGGAACTACAAATTTGGGGCCGGTAGGTAAAGGTTGGCTGGGGGCCCCTGTCCCTGACAGATTTGACGAAACTTATGAAATTAGGAAAATTTTGTGGTTTTCTGGCAACCATAAATTTGATTCGGTGCAAGGTAATTGTGTGCTGTCTGGTTAAACGACAAGGGCTTAATTAAAATATCGTTTCAATAATATCACGATTTTAACAATTGAATGTGGATCTGGCAGATTACACTCACAATGAGAAGATTCAAGCGGTCTCGCTTCAATTTTGGCGAAACCTTGATAATTAGGTAACCCTGGGTAAATAATTAAATACGTGTTTCAGGATTTTTCATAATGCTCAATTGACGGAATCCAAGAGCGAGAATTTCCGTTTTTATCCCGAATTTTTTCTCGCGAGGGACAAAAACACAGATTCTCGCTTACAGAGTCCATCATAAATAAGTGGACATGAATCGTTTTTTCCGGTTTTACAAATAAATTTGCTCGCACACTGAAACTAGCGTTCTTTAGCCTTTTCATAAAGGCGCGTATTTTCTGAATTTTTAATACATTTTCAGTCAAAATTAGGATTTCTCATAACGTTCTAAATTTTGTAGTTTTGATGCTATTTTAAATGCGAAAGAACATAAAAATGATTCTATAAAACTTCCATGATGCTTCCAATAACTCAAAATTACTTCCATAAGTATACAAATACTTTAAATTCCGCCACGTGAAAACAGGGTGATAATGCGTGGCTTGAGGAAAATGGAAAAATACGGCGTATTTCCTTGTGTGAACAATTTGAAATTTGTCTGGTCAAAATCGAAAAAAAAACATTTCATGTTAGGTTACACGAAAAAACACCATGCATTTTGAGTTTAAGCGAGATTATGATGGATTACATAAGCGAGAATCTGTATTTTTGTCCCTCGAGAGAAAAATAAACCCTTACAAACGAATATAAAAAAGTAGCGTCAGACCGATCGAAATTTCCTTTATAGTGTCACCGTATCCGACAATTATTTATTTGTGACCCTTGACCCCGTCCTCAAGGTCATGAGGTCAAAAATATTAACGTCCCCAAAATCGTTGTCAAATTTCCTTTAAAATGACACCCCATATGACAATTATATATTATGTTGACCCTTGACCTCGTCCGCAAGGTCATGAGGTCAAAAATATCAGCGTCTCCAAAATCACGGTCAAATGTCCTTAAAAATGACACCCCATATGACAATTATGCATATTTTGACCTCTAACCTCGTCGCCAAAGTCATAAGGTCAAAAATATTAACATCTTCGAATTCGCGGCGAAATTTCCTTTAAAATGACACCCCACATGAAAATTAAAGTTAAATTTAATTTGGACCACACCCCCTGGCGCAGTGGGGTGTGGTCCGACTGACCCCATTTTTGAACTCGACCGAGAACTAAAAATTAGAAGCACAATGGCGAAAACGGGGTTTGATTATGTCGACTCGTTCTAGAGATATCCTGCTTACAGACGGACAGACGGACGGACGGACAAAACGATCACAATGTTAACGATGTTATTAGTAGCGTCAGCTACTTAATAACACGGCAAACATGGAAATTCTCACGCACACATTCTGTCATAATTTCGTTTAAACTGAGCACTATGAAAAATCCCTAAACACGTGTTTAATTATTTATCAGAGATTGTCTAATTATCATTGTGTCTTCAAAATCGGAGCGAGGCCCCTGGTGTGATTGCATTGAGTTTCAGTTTTTGCAGTTGCTATACGACTAATTGAGTTAAATGAATAAAATAAATTTATCATTTTTAAACAAACTATAATCAACGCCAGGATCATCCCGATAAGATTTGTGTCATTTCCTCGTCTCATCGGGTTCAATGTGCTACATTTAAAATATTTAAAACTATTGATAAAGTTGGGAGATGCGCGCAAAGCCTGTAGAAAAATAACTAGCTAATGTCATAGAGGTGACTCCCATCTCAGCATTTTAAACTGAAAAGTATGAAATAAAATTTGGCAGAATTTCTTAACATAATTTGAACTAGTTTAGATCTTCTGCAACGCTTGCCCCTAGCTTCGCCACTGCTCGACATGTAAATTTTTTTACAAATTCGGGGCAGCTACGGGGCCCCCACTCCGTGGGGACCCCTAGGCAATGCCTACCCTGCCTACCCCTAGTTTCGCTAGTGCAAATGGCACCAGAGATATATGCATACGAAAAAATGTTTCTGTTCCAAAGCGTTTCCAAAACTGCATTTTGTTTAATTTCAGAATATTTTTAAAACACTCTAGAATTGTGAATTGTTCATAGAATTTTATGTGGGTGGTATCAAAATTTTTGGCATCTATGTGGCTTTCATAAACAACTCAAAATCTCCTAAAAGTTTGTTAACTTATCCCATACCAGGTGGATTTGTACAGAAAAAGCGTGAGTAACGTATTTTTGTGTGTTAAATGGAATTTTATAAATTGCAATAGTTGAAATTTTTTCATGTTTATTAATTTATCCGTTAGAGGAGACATTACTGATGATAATACAACCAGATTTTGGAGTTTGTACAGATATTTAATTTCGTGTTATGCAGTTAGTTGGAAAAAATTAGCGACATTTTGAGAGTTTGGGGGCTGGTTCAAATTTGTTCCAACTAATAAGTTGAAGAGCTAATGCATGTGTATGAAAACACTTAGGTGACTGAAATGTGTAATTTTGCAGGTACGGGAAGCGAAAAAACATTGGATCAATTAAAACTTATGCTACTAGCCGATTCTAAGGCTACGCTGTTGGACAAAAAATTTATCATTTGCTTCGATAAGGATGAAAAGTAAGCTAATTCGCGTGAGCAGCAATTAGTATAAATATGAGTATATACATACTTCCATATAATAAAATCTCATTCTGATGTATTCTTGTTTGACATTAAAATTTAGTGACACCATTCAAGCACCAAAAATAACATATCAAGGAGGCCATGACACATCGGAGTTGAAACCCTTTAACGTAATCAACAATAATTTTGTTTCTTCAAAGATTTCTGCTTCTACAAAATCACAAAAAATATTTTTTCAGGATATTTTACAGTATCGAAATAAACTGAAACACTTGGAATACTCCAAGCCCAAAAACGCTAACGAACCAGTCGCAATAATCGGTATGTCTTGTCGCCTACCCGGCTCCAACAATGTGTCAGAATACTGGAAAACCCTTGTGGACAAGAAATGCGTCATAACTCCCCCTCCTGACTGGCGCTGGACTCAGGCTCACATCGGTGACCAGGACCGAGGGAAAGCCGAATGTGGTTTCCTACCCTGCCCAATTGATCAATTTGACAGCTCCTTTTTCGAAATGAGTCCAGCTGAATGCAATTTCACCGATCCACAACAACTTCTAAGTCTTGAAGTATCCTGGGAAGCTTTAGAGGACGCCGGCATCAACCCGCAAACCATCCATGGCACAAGTACCGGAATCTACGTCGGATCCTATGGGCAAGACTATAGGGAGCTACTTCAAAAACTTGCTCCCCCTTCTACCGGCGGGCTACGATGGTATATGGGTACCGCCCTAGCCGCTGCAGCTGCACGACAAGCCCATATTTACAAAACCAAAGGTCCCACTATTGCGGCTGAAGCGGCATGTTCGTCATCCTCCTTGGCTATCGGTCAAGCAGTACAGGACCTTCGCCTTGGCGCATGTAACCTTGCTATTGCCTCGGGTACAAATCTCTTGCTTCAGCCGTATTTCCAAAATGATGTCGTTCTGTCGAAGGATTTCCGATGTAAAACATTTTGCACCAATGCTAACGGCTTTGTAAGAGCGGAAGGTGTCGCATCTCTAATTTTAAAAAAGCTCAGCGACGCGGTGAGGGATGGGGATAGGATTTATTCCGTAATACTAGGATTCGGAATGGTACAGGAGGGTGCGAGCAAAAGCATAGGAACCCCAACGATGGAAATGGAAGCCCTCGCAATGGAACTTGCTCTGAAAGATGCAGGAATTAAGCCTGAGCAAGTTCAAGTTGTTGAAGCGCATGGCACCGGAACGGCTTTGGGAGATCCCCTGGAAATTGGCGCCATTTCAAAGGCATATTCCACTAAGGAGAGGGCTGCACCACTAATTATTACGGCGGGCAAAGCGAACATTGGTCACACGGAGAGTACGTCTGGCATTGCGGGAGTTATCAAAATGACGATGGCCATGAAACATGGCGTCATTCCGGAACAAATCGGCATAAGCAAATTAAATCCAAAAATTAATTTAGAAAACATTCCCGCCATTATACCAAGAGATTGCAACATTCCTTGGCCTAAGGCGAATGGCGTGTTAAGAATTGCTGGGATTAGTTCCTTTGGGTTCTCAGGAACCAATACCCACATAATTGTGCAAGAATGGACTAGTCAGGCATTCAATGAAAGCATTCAGTCAAAACAAACCGAACAAGAAAATCTCTTAACAATCTCTGCAAAATCGGAGCAAGCTTTACTCGAATTAATAGAGAACTATAAGATATTTTTATCGTTACATCATGACGTTACAATTAGAGATGTTTCATACACGGCTAATGTTGGACGAGCTAAGTTTTCACACCGGGTTGCAGTTCTTGCCAAAAACAGAGATGACTTGGTGAACAAACTCGACAAAGAAAATTGGTCACGAGGAATAGCTGGAAAATTGCCAAAGCTCTGCTTTCTCTTTACAGGCCAAGGGTCTCAATTTTGGGGAATGGGAAAACAACTGTACATACATTTTCCAGTTTTTAGAGTGAGCTACTCAGTTAACAACTTATTGATTACTATCAACAAATAATGGATGGTTTCCGACTACATATAGGGTTTGAGATACCCTCTGTTTCTTGAATATTCTTTTGTGTAAATCTACCCAGGCCATTGGTGAAACAACCGTATTTAGGCGTAAAACTTCGTTTGTTTTATTGTGAAAAACATAAATTTCTAAAATGCTTGATTAAATTTAACATTTTTAAAGGTATGCTTATTTTATATAGGGTAAAAATACCTTAATTCCTTTTCGAGAAACACTTTCCTTTCAAGTTTTCATAGAATAGCTTAATATTAAAGTAAGAATCTCATTTTATATTTACTCCAGATAGGGTTGATTTTGTGATAAATTTTATCGTATAATTGTGAAAATCATGCAGAAACTTGACAATTGAGATTTAAATTCTAGGTAATTAAGCTTGCTTAAGTAACGGAAATATTAGTTTTACAAGCAAATCGAAGTTAATCTTTCATTCACTACCATGGAAAACCGTAAGAAACATTCTCTGAAGACAGTTGGTAGCCGGAAACCATCGTTGGCAACAAGCGGTTAAACTGCTACCTTTATCTTTTTATAGGAAAATTTTGACTTATGCTCAAAAATTATTCTGAAACTGATTGGGCTTAATATCTCGGATGCAATATGGGGAGATTCTAGTAAACCTCATCTCAGCAAATCAATGTACTCCCAAAGTTCAATCTTTGTGGTAGAGTATTGTCTCTTTAAACTGTGGGTTTCATTCGGTGTCGTTCCTTCCGTCGTCGTAGGCCACAGTTTAGGAGAATTTGCCGCCGCCACAGCTGCTGATCTTATCACCCTTGAAGATGCTTTGTTGCTCGTATGTGCAAGATGCCGACTAATTAATAAGCTACCACCAGGAAGAATGCTAGCAGTCGGCGTAGATCAGAAAACCTGTAAAGAAATAATATCTACATTTCTGGAAGCACGATCAAGATCAGATGACTGGATCGACATTGCTGGAATGAACACAACCAATCAGACTATCGTATCCGGTCCAACCACTGTTATTCACGATTTTGCGGAGTTTTGTGAAAATAATAGGATTAAATCAACCAAACTTGGGGCTACTCATCCATTTCACTCAAGAGGACTGGATCCGATATTGAAGGACTACGCACATGTTGCAAAAAATATAACGAATCAGGAAATACGGGGAGATGATAAGTGCCAATTCATATCTTCCTTGGATGGGGCTATCAAGTCCCAGCTAAGCCTGCAATATTGGATTTCCCATGCCAGAAATCCTGTCCAATTTATGGCAGCAATGAAAACCTTGCAAGAATGTATTGCTGATGAACCTTACGTATTTCTTGAAGTCGGCCCACATCCAGTCCTCTCTGCCCTGTTACATTCGAACGTGTCCTACACGCCAAAATGTATTCCGTCCATGAGAAGAGATGCGGCGGATGAAGTGCACATTATTCTTTCTGCCCTAGGAGGTTTATTTGTAGAGGGTGTTACAATAAATTGGCATAATTTCTACCAATCTTCTGGATCCCGTCAGAAGGTATCGATCCCGTTCTATCCATTCCAAAGGCATCCATTTTGGTTTCCCTTCAAATCATGGTCAGTAGATACCGCCCGCTGCAAGGATATACTCCATCCACTTCTTGGAAGAAAAATCATTCCACATCCATCTTCAGAAGAGTCTAATATCACGCGGTATGAAAACGTAATATCAACTGAGTCACACACATGGACTCTGGATCATCGCGTTGGAAACTGGACATTAATGCCGGCTGCAGGGTTTCTAGAAATTGCATTAGCTGCTCAAAATTTGCGGCAAGGCGAAAATCCGTATCCTTTAATACTTGAAAATATGAAGATCCAATCTCCCTCCGTTATTACGGAGGCTGGTGGCACAACCTACCACACTATGCTAGACGATGGAAACATAATAAAAATTTACAGCCAAGTGGAGAAAGGAAAATGGACCCTTAATTGTACAACTTCGATATCACGGGAGCTATTCCCAGTATCCAAATTTGCCCAATCTCTTGTGGCAAACCATCCAAAATCCACTACTGAGACTCGTGATATGTATGCAGAACTAGCAAAGTTGGGATATCACTTCGGACCAACGTTCCAAAGCATCCAATCAATTTGGGAAGATGACGGTTTGAGCCAAATGGCAAAAATCTATATTCCAAACAATCACTTGGGTAAACTAATAGATCAAATGCTGTTATAACTGCAGCTTATAACATGTTCTGCCTTCTTGTAGACGCAGGTGAGCGGGACGTCCTACATCCGATTTTAGCGGACAGCATGATTCAGTTGGCCATGATTCTATCAGCGAAGGCCAAGTCGCAAGCTTCGTTTAAACTTCCTATTGCCATAGGACGTCTAATTGTCAACAGTTCAACAAAAAAAGAACGCACAACTGAATCGTACTCGACATTCTACCTTAAAATGCCTCCAGGCCTTGAAACGGTATCGTTGTTCTCGTCATCAGGGGAATTTCTCGCATGCATGACTGGAGTTGAGTTCATGCCAACAAACGTATCCGTGTTGGATAGAGCAATTCATTCCATGCTGAATGAAAATGCACATTGCCCAGTATACGAACTCCAGTGGACCGTTGATACAACTTGTAGGAAATTTATTGCAAACTCAAGCGAACTGAGGTCTGTGAAACTTCGCCTAGATTCCGTGATTATTAAGCAATCCGAGGTGGATATCAAAAACTTGCTAAGATCGGACCAACTTATTGGATTACTTTTATGGAGGGAATTTGTGCGTGCCAGCTTCGAAGGTTTACAGCCACAATTCAAACTTGCACATTTTATGTCTCATTTTCGCATTCTTCCACAATTTCAAAAGCTGGCCACGCGATATCTTCAAATTTTTGTTGAAGACGAATACATTTCCAGGCTAGGCAATTATTATTTTACAGAAGGCAGACATTATGAAAGTTTACAGAGTGTTAATAAATCTGTGGGGAACCATTTAAGTGAAGACCAACATGATTCACTGCTGCTAGAAATACAAGCTGCTGTAGGTAATGTCTTACCAACACTGCGAGGAGAGAAGGCGTTACTTGCTTTGCCTGATGATTTGAAAGATGAACTTCTATCTTCTGCTGAGACACTTTACACGGAACATGCTTTCCAAAAAATTGCTTACAATAATTTGAGGAAGGTTGTCGAAAAAATTGTTTGCGGTAAATAGAACACCCGTGTTATAATTAATACATGGAAATAAGTGAAATCTTCAGAATTCAGAATTTGGAATAAAATATATTTCAGGTCCACTAAACATTTTAGAAGTTGGGGCCGGAACTGGTTGGGCGACCCAATGTCTGATTTCAGTCCTAGAAGAAAAAGGCCTAGACTTTTCCTACACCTACACCGATGTTTCATCAAAATTTTTTAAAAAATCTAAGGCTCATTTTTCACAGTTTGAGGGCAAAATGCAATACTCAGTGTTGAATATCGAGAACGATCCGAAATCTCAAGGGTTTGTTCCCCACAAATACGACGTAGTCCTTGTAGCTAATGCACTTCATAGAACTAGGGTGAGTGCAAACTTATGAGCTAATTGTTGTTTCATGTAAAACTGCATTAGCATTATCTTTTTCTTGAAATTAAGGATCTAGCACAAACGACTCGAAATGTGGCTCATTTACTAAAGCCTGGTGGTCACCTCTTACTTATCGAGATGTTCAAACCACAACGACTTTTGGACATTAATTTCGGCAGTGGATTTTGGGAATTTCAAGACTTTGACCTAAGGCCAAATTATTGTGTCATTGATTCCCGTGAATGGGAAAACCTCTTGAGAACGTGTGGATTCCAAGGTTTAACATGCCTCTCAAGTTGGGATGATAGGTCTGGATTAATTGTCGCAAGTAAACAGACAGCAATAATTAAATACGTAAACATATGTGCCAAGAGGAGGAATTGGCTTATTTTTGGGTTTAACGATGAGTTCACCCAGGATTTAATTAACAATCTACAAATTTCTGGGGAAGCTGTCACTCTAATTACTGTACGAAATTCCATGAAGACATTCGAAGACAACATCGATACAGACGAGAACGATGAATCTGAATATGCACGAATTTTATCAAAGTTTTCCGAAATACATGGGATAATTGTCTTGTGGGGTTTAAAACCAAATTATTTTAAGACCGAGTCAATCTTGGTTGTTAATTTTTTGTGTCTTTTTCAAGCAATTTCACGATACTCGGGAAAACTGGCGAAATTATTTATAGTGACGCACAATATTCAATCAATTAATATGATTTCGGCAGAATCTTATAAAAAACCTACTTCTGCTTTGCTTGTCGGAATGACTAAAACATTTCAATCGGAGAACGCCACCTTGGAGTGTAAATTAATTGATCTTGATCATCAAAATTCAGCTAATGTTGAAAACGTTATTCAAGAAGTGTGGCTAGACATGAAGGATGCGAGCAGTGACATTAACGTTTGCTACCATAACGGGGTTCGATACACACAGCAAATTTTTGATTACAAACCGCAAACTATGTACCAACCATTGTCTCTACCAAAATATACAAACCGTACACAACTTCAACTTCCAGTCTCGAAATCGATTTTCAATTTAGAGCTAAAAGAATTGTGGACGAGTGAGTTGGATGGTGACGAGTTAGAAGTGCAAGTTAAAGCTTATTCATTGAACTTTCGTGACATTTTTGCGATATTAAAACCAACTGAAGCCTTTGATAAAATTAATTGTGTTGGGGCAGATTTTTCAGGAGTTGTTTCCCGCATTGGGAATTCTGTCTCCAAGTTTAAGCCCGGGGACCTCGTCTTTGGGTCCCATAGCCAAAATTTGGCATTGGCGTCACATGTCACCACTTCAGAGAAGGTAATTCGGCCTGTTCAACAAGCGACAATTTTTTAAATACATTGCTAAGTTCTATTACGTTCTGGGACTTTTTTTAGCTTGTTGTAAATCTACCTAACAACTTAACACATGAGGACGCCTGTACAATTCCACTGGTTGGAATGACAGCTTATCATTGCCTTTGCACAGTTGCACAAATCAGGGAAAATCATTGGGTCCTGATTCACACAGCGTCTGGAGGAGTTGGACTAGCCGCCGTCCAGTTGGCCAAGAAGTTTGGAGCAAAAATAATAGCAACGGCGGGAAATAATAGAAAACGGGCATATCTGAAACATATTATGGGAATACAGTACGTATTCAATTCCAGAGATTTGTCGTTTGAGGCTGGTGTGAAAGCTGCTACGGAGGGACTGGGAGTGGACATTGTCCTCAACTCCTTAACAGGCAAAGGCTTCAAGGAAGCAAGTCTGGGTTGTTTGAAATATGAGGGCAAGTATGTAAATGAGTATAACAAGTGTTACTTATGCATATGTCTCTAGCAAAATCTTGTTTATTGTAACTCATAGATTCATAGAAATGAGCAAAATCAATGTTTGGACATCAGAAGATTGCCACAAGTTACGACCAGACGTGAAATACTCAATCGAAGACATTAGCCCGATTATGGATGATCTTGACAAATTCAAACGCTTATTTTTACAATTGACAAATACACTTTTAGAACCACTGCCATATACTAGATTTCAAGCTGACGAAGTGAAAGATGCACTTTCATTTCTTGAGAAAGCTAAGCATATTGGGAAGGTAGTTGTTGACATGTCCAACAAGAAACCCTTCAACGACAGAAGCAGCTATCTTGTAACTGGTGGTTGTGGCGGAATTGGATGGGAAATTGTTGAATGGATGTTGCAAAATGGTGCAAAATATATCATACTGATGAGCAGAAATCCTCCAAATGCTGAACTGTTGGTTAAGATTGGTAAACTAAAGGAATCCGGTAAGCATCGATAGGCGCCGTATATAAAGCAGGTGATCGATTTTCGAGGTATTTTGACCCCAATCCCCCCGGTGTAACCTATACGCCCAGTATCATAATTAACACGGAGTGGACAGGATTACTTGACCCGCATCCCCCTTAAATCGATCACATGCTTTCTGCGGTCTCCACCCTGTTACTTTGAGCTATGCAAAACATTAGCTTTACCTATATTAAACTTGTTTAATAGATTTTTACGTGATTTGGCGACAAGGAGACGTAGGGAACATAAACGATTGTGTGTCAGTATTTTCTTGGATCAAACAGCAAATCGACAAAAAGCCTCTGAGAGGCATATTCCATTGTGCTGGTTGCTTATCCGACGCCTCATTTGTTAATCAAACCAAGCAAAGTTACGAAACTGCCTTGCACCCGAAGTTTCAGGGGGGATGGAATCTACATGAACTCTCAAAACACTTAAATCTTCAATATTTCGTTCTATTTTCTTCTGCATCATCCCTTGTTGGAACTCCCGGTCAGAGTAATTATGCTGCCGGAAATGCATTTCTTGATGCTCTTGCCCATCACCGCCAGTCTGTCGGACTTCCGGCAATCGCGTTAAACTGGGGGCACTGGGGTGAAGTGGGTTTGGCTGCTGGGCAGAATATTTCATTCGTAAAACCAATATCAACGAAAGAAGGTTTAAATTCGCTAAATATTGCTTTAAAGTCAAACAGTGTTCAACTTTGCCCTATCCATATGGATGCTGGAAATCTGGTCAAGCTCATTCCTTGGACCAAGAGTTTACTGCAAAGCATACTAAAATCCGAAGACACAAATCGAAACAAAATAAATAGATGGCACTATAAGGAGAGTGTTATAAGCTCTGAGCAGTTTTGGTCGGAGGTTAACGGTTGTCGTGATAAAATCCAGCAGAATGCGGTCGTTCTAAGTCACGTGGAAAACTTAATTTCTTTCGTCCTCCAAATGGATGGAAAGAATATTCCAAAAAATCAAAACTTTTCTGAACTGGGTTTGGATTCGTTGATGATGATTGAGATTAAAAACAGGATATCAACTCTACTTGGGGACAAAGTGGTGTTAAGCATTAATGACCTCACCGATTGTGACACCCTGGAACGCCTCGCTAATAAGATTTCTGAGCTGTTGTCCCCAAAGGATGATGAAGGATCTTATGCTAAAGACGGTGCCAATGATCTAATTACTCAAGACTCAAAGTTATGGAAACATATTAAAGTTAACTCGACAACCAAACCATGTACACCTCTTCGTGAAATAAAGACCATTTTCTTGACTGGAGCAACTGGGTCAGTTGGACCTTACATGGTTCAGCAATTGTCATTATGCCCACAAATTGAGAAAATATATTGTCTCGTTCGGTCCCGCCCCAACAGCACAGGTATGATATTAACTATTGGGTAAGCAAGAATGTAATGTCGGAAGTCATGTTACATGATTGGTTATCGTAGTTTCTGTTTTTATGTTTTGATCAGAGTCAACCATGGCTCGACTACAGTCACGCCTAAAATTCCTTGACCTATGGGACAGTACAGATCAATCAAAAGTAACCGTCGTTGAAGGAGATATATCACTTGAGAACTTTGGATTGGATTTATCGATGTATGAGATTCTTGCTCAAGAGGTGGATGCCATAGTGCATTTTGCAATTTATACAGATCATCTCCATGGTTATGAGAGTTTGCCCTCCTTTAAAAGTGTTAACGTGGAAGGAACTCAGCGTATTATTCAATTATCCGCAGAACACAGGATCAAATGGATCAATAACGCTTCATCCTTGACATGTTTTCCACAAAATTTGGAAAGGCTGAAACAAATGGACTTGGAAGCTTGGCCAAAAAATGATGACTATGACACGAACACAAGTTTTGGCTATGGGATTTCAAAATTTATTGGGGAGCGTTTACTTGCACAAGCTGTTGAAATTGGTATTCCCTGCAAATCGTTTAGATTTCCTGTTGTTTCTGGTGCGAGTTTGACAGGTAAACAAGACTTGGGTGGAGGCAGTAGCCACGCATTAAAAAGGCTAATTCACTTACTGAGTACCGGAATCATACCGGAAACAACTACACCCCTAATTCACCTTCCGGCAGATATTTGTGCCAAAATCTGCATTTCGATATTTTTTAACGAAGAAGCGCCATCAAGCATGTATAATGTTGTTAACCCACACACAAGTCTGGAAATTGAGCTATTGCAATTAGTACCCGAGCTTGGAACAAAACTAATCATTATACAGTTGTACGGATTTGCACTTAAAAAAGCTGGCTTTCACGATAAGGAACTTTTTGTTTCACACTGGATAACAACTTGCAAAGAAAATGGCATAAACTTGGAATATTTTAAGGAAATTTTACTCGAATTTATAGATGACCCTGGAAGAATATTTGATAATGAAGGTGTCGCAGAATATTTGAAGAGTCAGGAATTCGAAGGAGACATAGGTTCATATGACGATTTCTTGGACTCCTTGAAATCCTGTGAAATGTCGCTGCTCCGACCTTACGTTGATATGTATAAGCAAGGCGGGACAATTTACAATTTTGCACAGATTAGTTCAAGCATCCTCGAGACCGTAGGAGACAGAATTGTGGATGAGGGAAAAGTGTCAAAGTATTTCCCTAATCTAAAAGAAATTGTACCAAACGGGATTGAATGCATTAGGAACGACATCAACTATGCTATAATAAATGGTGCACATTTGTTTCAAACAAGAAAATAAGTATACCACGTTAATAAGTATGTAAATGTTCAAATCTAACTAGATTTCAAATGTGCTAACGTTGAATGCGACACCTATTGAATAAATAATTAAATTAATGAATTTATTTGTAATCATGGACTCCGCTTACGAGCCAAAGAAGGTACAGGAATATATATGTACACAGGCATTTAAATGCAGGGTACTTAGGTTAGGATCGGAATAATGTACATAAGTATGGATATTGTCTGCACTCTTAGATATCCGTTGCGATTATAACCGGAAAGTAAACGTATATGACTCTACCGCCGTGATGATAATTTGTCATCGATTGGTTATAAATTTATCACCAGTCGGTGAGAAACTTATCAAAATTGGCAAAAAGTTATAACTCTTCGGTGACAAATTTCTCATCACGACGGCAGAGTCATATACGTTTACTATAATGGTACAATCGTAACCGGATTTCTTAGAGTGTGTGTAACTAAAACTAGGGATTAGTGAAGATTGATTGGAAAATTATGAGAGAGGCTGCTATGTTTTAAAATAACTACAACAATTTGTCGAATAAGGGATAAATTTAAATATGGTTTTTGTTATATACGTAAACTCAAATATTTATTAGTAAGATAAGTACATATGTATGTATGTAGGTGCATTCTTGTACATTTAGGTGAACCATTCGCGGATTTATGTATGTATTTATATGTTGATGTATATGTGTACATATGTACATACGCACGTAAATATACATGTGAATAAGGGTGAGTTCTATCATTTATACTTCCTGAAATAAATTGAACAGAATGCATGCAGAAATTGGAGTAATGTCGCTTACAGAATAATTCAAGTTGAAGAAGTGTAAGTTACACTGTAACCAATTATGTCTCCCTCGGGTAAGGATATTACATCTCGGGAAAGGTATGTATGTATACCAAGATAACCTTAATTGTTGCATATGTACATACATACCAAAAATTATCCTTATCCTACACATATCAAGCTTTTCACGAGTAACATAAAACTACAAACCTCCTTTTTCGATGGCGCAGTATGTGGGTCTCTCAGATTTTGCTAAACCAAACTCATTTCGAATGCTTATTTCCGGAAACGAAGATTGGAAATTTCACTAATCTTTAACCTGTAACATTATCAAGCACTCTTTTTAATTCGTCCGCTCCAGAGCATACGGCTTTACCCGCCCTCATTGCAATCCAAATTTTCCCATTATAACTGATTGTTAGTATGAATATAGAGCAAAATTTCTGGCAGAGACCAGGGCTAATTCGTTCCACGGGATTCCCGAAAAGTTCCCATACATGTATAATTCCGATCATCGTAGAAATGATACCAGAGCATGTGGAAATCTTGTTAGTTTGTGACTTTTAATGGCGAAAGCTTTTTTGGCATTTTTGCAGTCAGATTAATAAATTTTTAAGCAATAAAAAATTTTTTTATATGCATATTTGATTAACGTTTGATTAACATTTGATTAACGGTTTTACATAAGTATATACATATTTCGTGGTTTTTAAGAACATGTTTAGCCTGACTCCGATAATTTTTCAAAGATGGCCACTATGTGGACTAATCTGTATAATTCAGTAAATTTACAGCACATACTTGCGGTCCACAAAATAATCATGTACACTGATGCGATCTATTGTTCGTCAAAGGGAACGCCATTTGGTAAATCGAGGTTCTACGAAAAACAACAAGTTATATTCTTATGATTATTTTGGCAATTAGTAGACAAATTAACTCGGAATATCGTGACCTAAATTCATTTTCCACAAAAAATTGTGTATGGGGTAAATAAAGATTTTTCCGAGGTAACTTAAAATCAACCTGGAAACAATTGTTCGTCATTTTGGTGCTTTCCTTGAAAACAACCTCGTTTTTGCTGGTGCGTATTTTTTATATTTTTTTAATATTTAAAATTATTACTTTCCTTCATTTAGCATGAATTCTGGTGTAAATAGATCATGCCGAGGAGTAGGAAAGAGACGTCTTTTGATATTCGGAACCTGGTCATTAAATATCACGAGGGAGACGATAATGGCCAGAAAACTCAGCAGCAAATAGCAGCATTGCTAAAAATTCCTCGCACGACGGTTCAGTATATAATTAAAAAATATAAATCATCTGGATTAATTATAAACAAGCAAGGTAGAGGTCGAAAGCCAATATTTTCCGTGAAGGAGAAGCGCGCCATTGTCAGGAAAGTGGCCGCCAACCCCAAACTGACGATTTCGAAAATCAAAGTTCAGGTTGAAAATGAAACAGGAAAGACAGCCAATCGGAAGACCATAGCGAACGTGCTGAAATCTAGAGGATTCAAGAGTTGCAGAGCTAGGAAGAAGCCTCTCATATCCAAAGCAAACCTTAAGAAACGACTTGCGTTTGCTAAAGAGCATGTCAACAAAAATCAAAATTTTTGGGATTCAATTCTATGGTCCGACGAGAGTAAGTACAACATTTTTGGGTCAGACGGGCGTGCCAGGGTGTGGAGGAAGTCTGGGGAAGCTCTTCAAATGAGAAATTTGAACCCCACAGTCAAACACGGAGGTGGAAGCGTAATGATTTGGGGGTGCTTCAGCTCTGCCGGAACCGGAAATCACGAATTTGTTGATGGAATTATGAATCAGCACATGTACCAAGGTATCCTAGACCGAAATATTAAACAATCTGCGACGAAACTTTGTCTAGGTCGCCGGTATATCTTCCAACAAGACCGTGATCCCAAACATACCGCCAAAACAACTTGGGAATTCTTTAAAAAAAACAAAATAAAAGTCCTAGAATGGCCTCCTCAAAGCCCGGATCTTAATCCCATCGAACATTTGTGGGACCACATTGAGAGAACGATTCGAAAAAGTGAAATTTCTAGCAAGCAGAGCCTGAAAACCGCAATTTCTGACGCATTTCAAACCGTGACCCCGGAAGTGACCCGCAAACTTGTGGAATCGATGGGGCGACGCTGTCAGGCGGTTATATCTGCTCGGGGAGGACCAACTCGTTATTAAATATCACTTGTTGTATTAAATTGTTATGATTTATATAAAAATTTGAAATTTAATACAAATGACGAACAATTGTTTCCAGGTTGATTTTAAGTTACCTCGGAAAAATCTTTATTTACCCCATACATAATTTTTTGTGGAAAATGAATTTAGGTCACGATATTCCGAGTTAATTTATCTACTAATTGCCAAAATAATAATAAGAATATAACTTGTTGTTTTTCGTAGAACCTCGATTTACCAAATGGCGTTCCCTTTGACGAACAATAGATCGCATCAGTGTATGTACCTATTTAACAATGCCGACAGAGTCAGTTAGCCGCATCCTGACTAACATTGGAGGTCTTTCACATGTTAAACTCCATCAGTTATCGTCGTTAGAACAAATAAGTTTCATATCTACTTTTCTCTTATACACCTACATACATTTTGTGCATCTTAAAATGTAGGTATTGTCACTAAAATAATGAACATATGCATACATACAAACATTTTGTGCAAAAAATTTAATTCGTGAATAAAATTTTCTCATAACTTTATTACAATATTACCATAGCTTTTTCTAAACCAGACACATTTCGACTGCTTCTTTCTGTAAACGAATATCCCCAATTTCACTAATCTCACGTATTACATCGTTACTCTTTTTAATTCGTCCGCTCCAGAGAATAGTGCTTTGTTAGCCGTAATTGCAATCCCAATTTTCCCATTATAACTGACTGTCAGGATGAATATTGAGCAAAATTTCTGGTAGAGACCAGTGATTGGACTAATTCGTTCCACCGGATTTCCAAACAGTTTCCACCGATTTTCTTTAAAGGAAGAGATGTTGGAAAGAAGCAAGGTTCCAATGTGTGGAAGGTTGAAATTCCTCTGTAAAGAGCCGCTAATTAGTGCAATTCCTCTCTGAATTGCAGCCATGCCCACGATGAAGGTGGATATGTGACGAAATTGGTCAGAAATTCGGACAAGTCTTGGCTCAATTTTCCCGTCGGACGGTGGCATTTGCAGTGGGGCTACGATTCTAAAAGGTCCAATGAATCGACATGTTATGTACATAATGCATGTCACATAACAAAACTTTAACGAGATTGAGATGCTTAGAACTGAAAATCTTGAATACGTCCGAAACGTTTCATCAATATGATTCACAAACACATTACTTTGCGTTGTTAATAATACTCGATTCATGAACAGTTGAACTTTTATGAAAAACTTTGCCACTTCCAATCTCAAATTCCCTTAGCTTGACAACGCGGGAATTTGAGACTGGCAGTGGCATAGTTTCTTAATTACTTTAAAATTTCAATTGGGTCCAATTAGTTCATGTTCAGGCGCCCAAAAATACGCCCAAAAATTTGAATAGAAAATGTGCCTCATTTCGTTCCCTCCTAAAAATGCTCATTCTTCAGATCTTCTCGCCTAACAATGCAAGTCTTTTACGTGTACAACTCAGATCTGCATGGGACCAATTTTATTTTGTTCACCACAAAAAATAAGCATACCCGTATTTTTTAATTTTTCCTAATGCGCTAATTTGAGCGCGTGGCGCGAATTTTAAAACATTTTTAGTCAAAACCTCAGTTTTTAAAAATTCTGTCAATTTTCGAATTTTGGCGCGAATCCAAAAATTGGAAAACATGTCTCTTCAGAATGACTTACTTGACTCGTAAAAAATCCCCATGCATTATTTTTTGAAAAATTAAAAATTTGAAAGAGTTTATAATTTTAATGAATTTCAAAAACTGGCAAAAAATTTTGAAAATCAAATTTCGATACAATTTAATTTTTTACAAGTCAAGTAAGCCATTCTGAAGAGACCTGTTTTCGAATTTTTGGATTCGCGCCAAAATTCGAAAATTTACAGAATCTTTAAAAACCGAGGTTTCGGCTGAAAAATGTTTTAAAATTCGCGCCACGCGCTCAAATTAGCGCATTATGAAAAATGAAAAAATACGGGTATGCTTATTTTTTGTGGTGAACAAAATAAAATTGGTCCCATTGAGATCTGAGTTGTACACGTGAAAGACTTGCATTGTAAGTATCAGTGTCCGAAAATACTTACAAATTATTCATCAAGGACCCAGTATGACTGCTGAAAACACTGGGCAGCATATATATTGATGTCGCATCTTGCCCCGAACTGGCCCCCCTTTCCTTCATAACTTTCATCATAGCTCCAGCCACCCCGGGAAACAAGACGGACGTCATATTTGTCCCGGTGCGGCGGGAAATCTTTTTGAGTTCGGACATGTCGAGGACTTCCAGATCTGAAACCTTACCATTTCCCCGCTCAGTTCGCGTACCCCGATTGTAAGCGGATTGGAATCAAACCCTTTCAAGAAACGAAATATTCTTTTCGTCGGATTTACGAAAATTCCACTTCAATTTCAAGGGTTTCAGCTTTTTAAAATTGTCCTTATGTTCTGTCCCCTTTTCGGAATCATGACTGTCAAAAAAAATCGTTCAAAAGGGAAAACAATCCCAAACCGTCGGAATAACTTTGATGAAGTCTGCAAAGTATGGCAGATTTTGTGGGGTATTTAGCGTTTGAATAATTTGGCAAGGATATGCACTCCCATAACGGGACGTCTTCGGGGTACGGTTTCTCAGGCAGAGAGTCCATGAATTGCTGGATTTTTTCAGGGTCGGATTCTTAATTTATTGTGACATGTTGAGAAACTTGGAAAGTTGGGGATTTCCTCCCAAATAGGATTAACATCCAAGAATATAAAGTGCATGTTAGTTCTGTATGCTAAGAATTACAGTAATTTCATTAAATTCAATTTAAGCCTATAAATTACACTTACATATACATAAATATAAGCATCATCAAAATTAGCACATTTTAGAATGGCTTCTCAGCTCTATGTAGGAACCTGTTTAAAAATCGCGGCCGACAATTTTGTACTTAATTAACAGAATGGCGGTAATTTATTTAAATGTTTCTGAAGGCATCTAAAACTAGAGATTTCTTACTTCAAAAAGTACGAAAATCTGGAATGTGAATTTTTTAAAAATTGGCAACGACCTGCTCTATAAATTCGTCATCCAGAATTTTAAAATAAATACCCAGACCGTAGAAATTATTAACAATGTGCTGGTTTTTATGATTTTGACGATGAGTTATCATAAGTAACTTATACAATACTTCGTATCTTAAGCCTACATATTTCGCAATAGTAAAAAAAATTGCATACAATTTTCAGAACGGTCTCCAGCTTGCAAATTATGTGGTTTATGTCGTGCCCAGTCTTCAAATAGATTACGGCACAGAGGATGAAAACTGGTTTTCGGTACATATCATCCCAGCCAAACGGGCTACTGCAGATGTTCAGGGCAAGATAAATATCTTTTTTACACGAGGCCAGAAATATGACAAATTTCCGGTACAAAATTAGTGGAAATATTATTAATAGCAAAAGAAGGGGTATAATGAAAA